GGCCATCTTGAATCATGTGCTAAGATAATAAGGTAAGAAGAAAGCAGATCAGATGAGCAGGTTACCACCAAGCTTGGTTTATTATTTCTGTATAATTGAAAACAGGGTGATTGTAAATTTTTCAGGAATTCAAGTAGCATGATGCCTAGTGAATAAAAATGTAAACAATCCCTATGTGTCAGCATTCCTTTTCACTTTGTATATAAGCCAGGTAAAGAACAGGAAGACAATTTTTAAAATAACAGATGCTAGAAAGATTGGTCTTTGTTTACATAACATTTAAAAGCTGGAGTTCTAAATTGAAAAGCTATATGAGCTTTCTTAAAATAAGAGCAGAGGCTGAAGTGATAGAACATGTGGCTGTAAGCCCTAGTTAAATTTGGTGGATCTCTTCTATCATCTAATAAACAGTAGGGATTTAGGTAGTATTTTGACCAGTGCTAGGTACAAATAGCATGTATACTTTGTGGAAATCCTCTAGGATCCAAAAAGAGGGCTATAGGGAAGACAATGCTTTGGGATGAAAGAATGGGACACGTGGTTGCTTCCCAGGTCTGTTTGCTGTATGGGTTTTTTTTAGTGTTGTTATCCTTGGAAGCTAACAATCAGTGATTTGGCTTTTACCATTGCACTGAATTATCAGTGATCTTCTGAATTAGCAGGTTTTGTGATCTCCAATACACTGCTGGTTTTACAGTTAGCAGTATTGTTTGTTTTTTTTTCTTTCATGGAGAAATGTTCAATGTGACATGGATGAACCACAATACTTTTGCTTTTGGTCTTTTCTCTGCTTCATGTGACAATGCATTTTGGGTAGCTTTTTCTCTTCATGCTGTTTTCTTATGGTGGTATAAAGTGTCTTCAGGACTGCTGATGAAGGAGCAAGAGAAGTTTTTGTTCAGGTGATGCACAGGAAGAATGGGAAGATACAAGCTATAATTTTTCATTATACTTGCATGTTTTTAAATAAAATGAATTGGGGAACTATCAAACAATAATCCAGACAATATGGACCATGGTTCATTCTTACCTTTTTTTGCTGGGCAGGAGTGGGTTGTCTTTTACCTCTTGGGTACACTTTCACAGCTGTTTCTTAGCCCTTTACTGGGACTTCTGTACCTTCTTTTTCCATGGTCGCAAAGATGGCAAACCCCCCTTTTTGGGGCCACCGGGGGCCTGGCCTAATTTAGGGCTGCCTTTTCCTAAGCTCATGGACTCTAAGCTGACAGGGAAATGGCTCCTGCCCCTGCTTCAGCTGTTACCTGCCTGAAGTTAATCTCGTTTTACCCTGGCCGGCCCTTTCCCTCCCTCTCCCAGGTAGTAATAATGTTGGTTTTGGGAGAGTTCCCTCTCTTCTCAGTGCACCTGCCCTGCCTCAGTAGCTTTGGCAGCAGAAACTCTTCACTGTCGTGAGAGGAGCAAGGCCAGGCTGGGCTGCCCTTTTGCCTCTGGATGGTCTGGAGGTGGTGGGAGGACAGACTTCCCTTGGCTGTGGCCTGTGTTCAAATCTTGTAGCCCTGTTGGGGTCAGTGGAGTAGCCTGCGCCATTCCTTGCTCTGCGTCTGGGTGCTGGGAAGTTAGTTCGTGCCTGGCCCCCACTTGTCCTGCCTTTCCAGCCCTGAGTAAAGGGTAACATCTGTAAGTGCCTCAGCCTCCTGTTTTCTGGCAGCCTTCATAGTGTAGTTCTCTGCAAGAAACGGTTCTTTCTAATTGAGTGTTAAATGCGAGCTGGTAGCACAAGTTACTGTTCCCCACATGCCACTCATGTACTTTTTGACCTTGGGGAGGAGGCGTCTGTTTCCAACCTTCCTCCCCTGACTGATACTGCTGCTGGGATGGTTTTTATCATACTTGGTTTTGGCTTTTAAAAATTACAAAACTTGGTTAGGATTTAAACTAGTTTGTCATCCTAGAAACTTACTGAACCAGTGTAGGGTAAAGAGGAGCCTCTTCCAGGAGAAATATCTGTCTCCTGCTCAACCCTCACCCTTGTACATGACCCCCATGGCTGCACAGTCCCCTTTTCATGAACCTGGGGAGACTTGCAGACTGCTTGCTTTCATGCCCTCGTGCTTTCATGCCTTCCTGACAATACCTGAAAATGCCTACTCAAAAGGTAAGATGGTAGGACCCAGGAAAAAGCAGCAACCACAGACTTGGAGAGGTCTGACATCTTTGGCCCTCCTTCAGGTGGGGCTGCCAGAGGGAAGCAGTGTTTTTGTACCTTTTTCCAAGCCACATGAAACTCATCAGTTTGGGGGATGCTTCCTTCCCTCCCTTGCATGTACACCTGTTCTCCCAGGTGTGAGACAAGGAAAGAAAAGGAGTCCTGTTACATTTACAAACCAGTCAGAGTGAAGCACCTCACGTCTTTGAGGCTGCAGGGAGTGAACTTTGTCTCTCCCAGAGGCATTTTCATAGTGCATTGGCAGATCCAAAGCTCTGAACAAAAAGCAACTTATCTCCAAGAAAGATATGCCCTTTCCCTATGCATAACTGTCAAAATTGTGATTAGCACATTTCCCTTGCCACACATGAGAAAAAGCTGCTGATAAGACACACACTCCATGTTGAAAATGAAATTAGTTTTATCACATTTACCTCTCAAATCCTTTTTACATGCTCTTGTTACAGATAATACCTGACATTATTTACACTAGAGAGACTTGATTTTTTTTTTTTTTTTTTTCTGTTTTCCTGAGATTGTTTCCTTTGTTCCCCTGTTCGGTTTCATTGCTTCTTGTGGACAGCTGGTGAATGCTAGTTTCCTCTTGTCCTTCTTACTTTTATCTTTCACACAGCAGTAGCAAAGGGAAAATATTTCTCTCTGCTGACGCAGAAAGCGTGCCTGTTTCTGACTTCTGGCAGGATTTTAGTTTATTTGTTTGTTTCAGACAGAGGAACAGATGACAGATAGGTAAGTAAACAAGACTGAGAAAGGCATGCTTGTTAAATTTTGTTTCCTTGGACACAGCTGAAATGGATAGTCATGCAATGCCAAAATCCTCAGCTTTTCCTCCCGGGGTTGTGCTGTCAGATCTTTTCTGATTCCTTACTACCTTTTCTCTGCCTGCTACTCTGATGTTTTCCTGTCTCTATCTTATATGCTTAGCATAAGCCAAATAAATAAATACAATATCCATGCATTTGTTATCAGACATTTTGAATCACTTGACTCAGCTGCTGCAAAACTTGCTTATGGTCAGCTTCTTGAGTGTGTTGTTTTTCCATGATTTCCAGCTGTCAGCACTATGAAAAACAATTCCTCACTTAACCTGAGCAAAAAAAACTCTTATGTCTGGCTACCCTAGTGAGATGGTGGATTGGCCCAACTTGTGCCATAAAAAAGTACCCTTAAATTGTGTTTTTGGGAGGGCAAAAACTCAAGGACACACTTTGACATAGTACTAAAATTAGTTTGTAACTCCTTTTATAAGACTAACAAGAGGTCAGGCTGTTTTCCGTGGCCATTGGATTTCAAACATTTTATTCTGACATTCCTATTACACGAATACCCACAGAAGTCTCATGAATATCTATGTGGTGTTTCAGTGGCAGGGGTCTGTGGGCATCTCACAGGTGTTTCAAGGAGTTTTGTAAAACTGTGCTACTTGTTCCCTTGTTGGCAGCTTGAGGGTTCATGGCTCTGTTTTGGCGTGAGGGATGGGAAAATGCTTTTGATTTGCCGAGTCCATTTACTTCAGCATAAGCCACTACAACACACTTCTGGATACTCCGTTTGAAACTCATGGTTTGAAGATGGTGATCAGGTTAAGATTATAATCTGATAACAATTAGAGGGGGGAGAAATGAACAAACAAACAACAAATCCCAGACCTTGACACATCTGTTCAAATTCCCTGTAACTACTTTAAGTTTCTTCCAAGCCAAAATATTTTAGAATTTGCTTCCACATCTTGGTTTAATTGCGGGTGTGTCTGTTCTAGTTTGCAGTTAGCATCTCTAGTTTATATAAAAATTTATCAATATTTTACATATTTTTAAACAAACCAAGCAAACAGATGCTTAGAGGAGAGTTATGCATGTAGTTTCTTGGGTGGAATTGTATTTCCAGAGTGACCTGCAAACCTAAACGCCAGTGTCACTTTCTCAGCTGTTCTGTGGAAAGAAACCTAGCAGCTGCTGTCTCATACTGTGGGCTACTTGTGGCATGCTCTGGGCTTCTGGCAATAGAATTGATATGCCAGACCAATACTGTGATTTAAATGCATCTATTAATTTCCTCACACTGAATAAAAAACTTAAGTGGAGTTTAAACAATTATTAAAGAGGTCTCCCTTATGCTCAATGAAGCATAAGGGAGAAACAAGTGAAGACTACAGAAACAATTTGTGATTAAATTGAAAAGCAGGTAAATTATCATAATCTTAGTCAGGAATAAAACACAAAGTACTTGATTTCCTTTTCTGATTGTTATGGTCCCTATACTTTTAAATACTTTTGGATTAAAATCCCTTCTGTTTTGATTCAGCATCTGACATACACATGTTCACCCTGTTTAAATACTTTGATTTGGGAAGAATTATGTTGAGCAAGTATATTCAGTAACTAGTAAGTAAGAAAATGTAGATTGTGTGGTTGCACTTCTGAAACTTCAAAACACTGTGTTGCTCTGTATGGACTTAATAGTGAAGTTTTTTTCTGGCTGTTTTAATGTGAGAATCTTTTTTCTTGCGATTAGCCGGTGTCAGGTGATGTTCATGGAAGAAGCCCTTCACACTTCAGACAGTGACAAAAAAGAACAGGCAGCTTAATGCTACCAAACTCGGGGTGTGTCAAATCTCTCTCAAGAATGATAAACTCAATGGAGTTGTCTATTTTTAACCTCCTGTTCTTTCCCTTTGGCAGACTAATCAGTGTTAGCTGAGCTGTTTCACCAAATGAATCCAAGCAACTCTATTGCTTTCTGAAATGAACAGTGGACCTTGCAAGAGAGTTTCAAGTCTGCTTTAATGTATGAAGTCCCATTTTGAAACAGTATGTCAAATGAAGCCAGTTCAGAGCAGAAGCTTTCTACAACAACAGTCAGTTCAGTTGCTGTTCAGGCCGGGGATGCCAGTATTGTTATAGCTGTACTTAAGGTAAGGCAGCAACTGCTAGCGTGTCTGTTCTTGGCTTTCTGTTACTCGGTAATTACTACTTCTTTTAAATGTTTTGTGCAAATGAATAGTAAGCATAAAATGTTAAGACAAGGTAATTTAATCAGTTAATATCTAATAGAGCTTCCTTGGAAGTTAACATATGTTTTTGTTCACAATTTCCATTTGTGTGTTATGTTTTTGTTTTAAATCGAGTAGCTTGGCCAAAAAATGTATGCCTTTAGAGACAAGGAATTCCTCTTAATCTATTTAAAAAGGAAGAGATAAAGGCAGAATGCCATGAAAATGTGTTAATAAGCATGATGTTACCCTTAATTGTAGTTGGGACTACTCAAGAGTTATTTTTAAACTATACTCAGCAATAATTTTACATACGTAGTCTACCAACTCCATAAATGCAGATTGTGTGTCTTTTTTTGAAGTATTTGCTGGGAAAAAAATGCCTCCACCCGATAATGTGTGGTTATTTTTGAAAGCTGTGAATTCACATTCCTGTGTGTTTTAGTAGAAGCCCCGTGTGTATGTAGTTGTGTTTAGAAGCACCTAAAGGCCTGTTCTGTGAGCTGGAATCCACACCTACAGCTTGCAGAAAATTTGGAATGGGGAGTAAAGCTGGATGCCTAGGTACTGAATCCCAGTTGGAATTTATTGGCAGTTTGATTCTTCACTCTCTGAGCAGCCTGGAAAACATGCTAGCATCAGCCACTAGAGTTTTCCTGTAATGCAGAATAACAAGTCGGGCTGTCACTGAATTAGGGTGGTTATTCAGGATGGGGTCACCTCAGTTGTGCTGGTGGGAAGGTTCTCTCTTGTCAGTTCTGGCCCTTCCTGGGAGACTTCCTGGGGAGTAATCTTGTTGGAAGGAGTTCAGGGTGAAGACATTTATTTTTCCCATGTATTGTGTGGGAACCATGCTAGCCTCCAGTGACGTAACTGCTTTGCTCCTTCTCACCATTCTCTCTGAGTTATGCTTCTCAGCCTGTAGCAGTTCTGCAACACAGTGGGGAAAGCATTAGATATGCTTTGGGTTGCTGTCAAGCTTCCTTTCTTCGTGTATCCTCTGGGACACAATGGGAGATTGCTTCTTTGGGTTCCTATTCCAAAGGCTATTAAGTGGCCTTGCTGCTAGTTATGTGGTCTCTCTCTATATATATTCAGTATACAGGTATGTTGGAACTGTGTGAAAGAAATAAGATTTGTGATTGTGGTTTTTCCATTTCCTATACTGTATTTGTACCTGCTCCTTCTCCCCAAGTTTCCTTAACTGTCTATACAATCTTCAGCTGAAAGGGGAGATGAGTTGGAGGAGCCTTTGTGGCCCATTGTGATAATCTTACTCTTCAGAGATAAAACCAAAACCATAGTAGCTATTGGATAAGACTAGAGTCTGGGATTTAGGTACCTGTTTCAAATTAAGTGAAGTTTATATTTTATTCTCTGTGCCTTCCTTCTGCAATTGAATACATGTTTGTGGGTCCCTGTGCTCCTATGACCATGGGAAGTATGCATGACCTGAGAGTCTATGTGAGTAAACAAATGAACAAAATCTTGTGTTTTCTGAAGGCTGTAATTGTTTACTTATTACAGTGTGGAAAATGGGTGAAGCTTCAGCTGGCTGAATCAACACCGAATTTATTAGAAATTGGCAGCAATCAAGATGAGACTAAAAAACTACTGCAAGATCATGAATTCCTCCTAGCTAAACTTAAGGTAAGAGGTGATAAGACCATACAAAAATACATCTAGTTGCTATGGTTCAGGTACAACAGTTGACATAGCTGCCTGTGCCTTCTGTTGCAATGTGGTTGTTAGGTAAAACTCCACATAGAAAAAAATATGTTCATCCTTCATCAGTGTAACAGATCAAAGTCAGGCCTTTGCACTGGAAAAGTATGCTCAGTGTTAATTACTGTTTTCTGACAACAGCAGTAAAGATACGCTTTTTTTTCCACTTTATACATTACTGTCAAGTCAAGTGAAAAATTCCCATAGCCCTCAGTAACTGCTAAATATAATGGAATGTCAATTTTTTTTAATTCTCCAATGTTATGAAAAGTTTGATTAGTTTATAACAGCTGTAAAAACAAGCAAGCTCATAGTAAATTTGAAGTAGATATTCCAGGCACATTTTTGTTTAATATTAATTGATGTAATTTATGGTAAGAATTATATTCTAACATTGTTTTCCTTGTCTTGAGCTAGGAATATTAGTTAAGGAATTTAAAGAATCCTAATTAAGTTAATTAGGAATATAGTTAAGTAACAGACCTAAAAGAAGATTTTAGCATTCTTGAGAGCAGATTATAACAACAGTGGTGTTTGGACACAGAGTGACATGCTTGCATGAAAAAAATACATTATCTTAAATATGGATATTTGACACTAAGAAGACTCTAAAGGCACCAAAGAGGAAAATTTGTTTTCATGTTTTGATAGGGCAGATAGGCTTTATACCTGTAGACAAATAAATTCCTCTAAAATCTTGGAGCTGTGTACAGCAATTTAATAGATTCCATCTATTCTGGGTTTTTTTTTGAGATTACATAAAATCCATATCTGAAAGAGCAAACATGATCTGGATAGGATCAAGTGCACTTGATTTAATACTAGTGACTATGTGTTTCCCCAGTCCTTATAAATCTCAAAGGCACGTGAGGTAATTTAGTACAGCATACAGAGAATGTAATCTAATATTATGCATAGTGTAGATTTTTCAGTAGTATGAGGAACAGCATTACCAAAAAACCCAAACCAAACAAAACCAAAACCACACCCCAAACCCAAAGAGGGTGGTTCTGCTATCTTTAATTATGCAGGTGCCTCATCTTTATTGCCATCAGTGCTACACTCAGGCATTCTTGGAACAAGCTGCTGTATCCTGTTTGAACAATCCAGAATTAGCTGAATTCTTGCACACTGAGACTCAGTAAATTTTTTTTTTCAATGTTAGTTTAGCTCACTCACCAGTTTCAATATTTGCATAAACAAAATTCTCACTGAAATAGTATTTGTCTCAAAATAGTTTTATGACTTCTTTCTGGGCTTCAAGTTAGTAAGTATTTGTGTTGTGTGATTTCAGCACTAGCTATAAACAAAGATTAATTTTAGCGGCATCTCACTGAGGAGGATAGTTTACACCACTGAAAACTCCAAGTTATAATAATTACTGTAAGAATCTGAAGCTGGACCTTTGTACTATATAAAATATGACCTAAAGTCTGAAATTCGTCCCAAAATAATAATGAAAAGACATCTAGGGAAGGAAGAAGGAAAGAAGCATTGAACAGATCAGGATTTAAAGATAAACTAGGTGTAATTCCATAATTATTAGAGAAATGTGCGATCCAGTCAGCTGTGCATGTGATTCTGCTCAAACAGTTCCACAAGCCCTACCTGTTTTTCGGGAAATAACAATGACACATGGAAATAGGTGGAAAAAGGAACAAAAGACAGAGTTTTTGAAAGTTTTGTCCTTCCACAGCAATCCAAGTTCTGATGAGCAATCAGATCATGAACATCATAATGAAATGGTGAACCTGAAATGAACCTGATCATGAAAGAAAGAGGGTCAGGAGGAGGCAGATGAACAGCAATATAACAGAAATACTATAAAGTTCAGCAATCCAAATAGAAGATTGTGCAGTTAAAGTGAATAGCAAGAATTTCTGTTGCGGCCTTAAGTTTACTACTTGATTGTGGAGCAGCCATTAACAGACATGGCTGTGGAAACAGTGTAGGAATCCAATACTTGCAACTATTCTGAAGAGAACTGAGAAGTATGAGTGGAAATTTAGGATTCTGGTCATCTATACCGAAAAAAGCTGACATTAAACTGAAGGCAGGTGCATAGAAGGGATATAAAAGGGAAGAGGTTAATCTAATTTCTAGAGTGGGCTAAGAAAATGTTTTGTTTGGATTAGTAGAAAGGCTGAGATTCTCATAAATATATTGCATGGGTAAACACTTCTTGTGGTGGCCCAGCTGGCATCTAAGCACCACATGTTGCTCACTCGCTCCTCCTCCCTTGGTGTTATGGGGAGGAGAATTGGAAAACAAAAGGTAAGACCTCATGGGTTGAGGCAAGGACAGGGAGGGAACACTCACCACTAGTTATGGGCAAAACAGAATCAACTTGGGGAAAAAACAAAAGAATTTAGTTTGCTACCAATCAAATCAGAGTAAGATATTGAAAAATAGAACTACATCTTAAAAAGACACCCTCCCCCCACCCCTTCCTTCTTCCCGGGCTCAAAAACTTCACTCCTGATTTCTCTACCTCCTCCCTGCCAGCAGCACAGGGGGATGGGGAATGGGGGTTGTGGTCAATTCACCACATGCTGTCTCAGCCGCTCCTTCCTCCTCTGGGGGAGAACTCTTCAAACTCTCCCCTGGCTCCAGCCTGGGGTCCCTCCCATAGGAGAGAGTCCTCCATGAACTTCTTCAACATCAGTCCTTCCCCACAGGCTGAAGTTCTTCACAAACTGCTCCAGTGTGGATCCCTCCCATGGAGTCATGGCCTCCTTCAATTCACCACATGCTGTCTCAGCCGCTCCTTCCTCCTCTGGGGGAGAACTCTTCAAACTCTCCCCTGGCTCCAGCCTGGGGTCCCTCCCATAGGAGAGAGTCCTCCATGAACTTCTTCAACATCAGTCCTTCCCCACAGGCTGAAGTTCTTCACAAACTGCTCCAGTGTGGATCCCTCCCATGGAGTCATGGCCTCCTTTGGGGTCCTCCATGGGCTGCAGTTGGATCTCTGCTCCACTGCTGACCCCCATGGCTGCAGGGGCCAGCTGCTGTCTCGCCATGGGCTGCAGGGGAATCTCTGCTCCGGCACACCTTCACCCCCTCCTTTCTTCACTGACCTTGGTGTCTGCATAGTTGTCTCTCTCACACCCCCCTCCTCTCTTTGCTGCAGGTTCCTTCGCAGGCTCCTGAATTGCTCCCGGCCCTTGGGCAGAGGGCTGGTGGCTGGGGCAGGCTGGGCCCTGCCTGGGGGTGTGGTGGAGACTGGGCAGGGCAGGCTGGGCCCTTCCTCCTTGTGCGCTGCACGCCTCTTAAGTGTGTTACTCACAGAGGTGCTGACTGGCTCAGCCTTGGCCAGAGGTGGGTCTGACTGGGAGCTGGGGGAGCTTCCAGCAGCTTCTCACAGGAGCCACCCCTGTGGCCTCTCCCCACTACCAAAACCCCGCCACACAAACCCAGCACAACACCACAGGAGAGCAACCACTGAAGTTGAAGGCCACTGCTGGCATAGGAATATATATAGCACATGGGGATCATTAAAAGAGGTAGGCTGGAAAGGTTTTCTAACTGTCAGAACCATGTCCCAAAATAGATTTTCAAAGGGAATAAAAGGGGCAAAAATCCTAGTGCTTTTCATTGGCAATAAGAAATATTTGTGGAAAGGACTGTGTGAAATTATTGTTTCTAAGACCCAGGGGCCTGAACTTGACGACCCAGCTGTTGTGTAATCATAACAGCAGATGTAAATTTGTGTATCTTTGGTTTATTGAAGCTCTTCACTTCTGAGATCTTGATTGTACTATAGCTAATATTTTATATCTCTGTTGTTCACGTTCATATAAACTACGGAAGATTGTGAACTTTAATTATAAATTAGATTGATTCAGAAGCTGCTGTCTACTTAAGAAATGTTGGACAGTATTTCAGAGGAAAAAACAACTGGGTTCAGGAAGCAAAAGGTAAAAACTTTACTGACATGCAATTTTTGTTCTTTTGAGATTCAAATCAGTAAAGTTCAAGAAGAGTGAAACCAATTCTGTCTATGAAATTGCGATTGTACTTAAAATATTTGCATTTTCATTTTTAAAATAATTTGAGAACTTTTTAACATGAAAAGGAGTACATTCTTTTTGTAATGAGACTGGTAGAGTTAAGTTTTGCAGGTGTCTGCCGCTCATGAAAATTAATAGTGAAAGTGCAGAATTTGACCTATTTTTAGTTGATATATTTTCATCTTGTACTCTTTGTTTCAGTTCTAATTCCTAATTTTAGCTAGGCCTAGAGTATAAAATCGTAGTAACTTTGTACCAAAATGTAGTGGCTCCTTGCTCCTAAATACTGCAGTAACTAAACAGATATGTAAACAGCATACTAAATTATATGTATATATATATTCTTAATCATGGCTACATTTCTTACTGCATAAGAACTACCAAGACTGCAAATAACAAGCACTCAGAACCGAAGAAGGGATGACTTTAGTTCCATGCTGCCTCAGTCCACAGGGTCTTCCAGCCTCTGAAGCCCATTTCTGCAGATGATGTGTGCTAGAGCTCCTGAGCAGAACCTGTACCTTTTTGTGATATAGTCTTCCTTCCTCTTCTTTTTTAGAAATGATCAATTTTTATGTTTAGTTGAAGCTTTCCAGAAAAATCCAGTATGGCACAGGTCCTGATACAGGAAGTTTTATTCTGCTTTGCAAATTCACAAGCAACAGTCTTCCAATGGAGAAGAACTGTAATTTTAAGCATTGCAGTCTGCATTAGGATTCCATGAACTAATGCTAAAATATCATGATTTTGAATTTTTCCTTCAAGCAAATGTACCAACATCACTAGAGGGGTTCTATAGAGTTGTGTTTTATTGTAACTTTATTGCATTTTTAAGTCAGCCTTTCTCTAAACCGTGTCCTCATAAATCGCTTTTCCTTTGGTTTTGTCCTGGCGTTAGCAGCTCCATGGGGCTTTTTGGGTAGCAATATACTGTATGCTATCACCTCTAGGCCTTTAGGGATTTTTAAGTCCTATCTGTATCTTGGCTGTGTCTTCATGGTAACAATAACATTGTTTTATACTGTGCTTTTATTGGGGTAGCCTTTTAAAATCATCTTCCAAGCAGCAGGCTGTGTTTTCGAAATAGATTTTGAGAATCAACATCTAGGTCATGTAAATGTCATATCCTGCCTCTGTGTTCTCTGTGCAGTGTAATGAATGGTAACAGGAACAGCTATCATGTGAAATAAATTGTAAGACTAAAGTATATTTATCGAATGTATAGACTGTTTGAAGAGCAGCATATTATAGTTATGTGTGCTAATTTACCTATTGGGAAATGGCTTCAATTAAATAAATTGTTCATAGTATTCAATAGTATTCTTGTACAAAAGCTTAGAAACATAATTAGTAAGATGAGAATGAAATAGCACAAGTCTAATTTTACAGGCATTACATAACACAATAGAAATGTGACTGCATTATTAATGCAGGTTTGCCTTTGATGTGCTTGATCTGTTTTTATTGTGAAAATCTTATGTGTCTGAAGTTAACCAACAGGGAAAAGTGGAAAATAGAGGATGGGGCCTTAAAAGATGGGTAGAGTGTCCTTCCGGATGAAGTAACTTCTTTCTTCCTTTTAGTGTTGTATTAACCATTGGAGATTTCAAGACCTTACCTAAAATGGAGCGTTCTCAAACAAGTGAACAGTGTACACAGAGATGTGGCTGATTATGCAGCCATCACACCTGTAGGTTTCTTCTGAAGGCCATTACCAGTGGGGAAAAAACCTCCAAACCTTCATTATTTTCAGTAAACTGTAATCTGTTTTTTAAGAGTGGTAGGAACACTATACCCTTTTGCTAATTTCCCAGTTCCTTGATAATTATCAGAGAAAATAATCCCTGACTTTTTGTAATTTTAAACTGAAAACAATGATTGCTAACATATTAAATCTCCAGAGTTGTTTTCTAGCCATTTCTTAGCCTTCAAGGGAGCTTTTTATTTTCAGCAGAATTATTTTGACTGAACACTTAGAATTCTGATGCAATTTAAGGAATATCGATTTCAGGTTTCTCATAACTTCATTCTCTACTAAAAGCCAATATTCCTTACAGGATTGTTTCTCCAATAAGACGACACAGTCTCCTTTTGCTGAACTGCTGTAATGTCTGAAAGCAGCGTCACAATTAGGAAACGCAACAAATAAAAGAAAGTAGACATAATGAATGGAGTAATCTTTTCCATGTTTTTATTTTATAGCTTATAACATTCACTTTTTCAAATGAAGTCAAATTTACCTGCTAAAAGCAAATGCTTAGCATAAAGAAGTTGGAGTATAATTTTACATCAAAAATATTGGTAAAGCATTTTCAGCTATATCTAGTAAGCAGTCTGAAGTATGTCTATACAGGGTGATGAAGTCACATCCTTTTGTATTTCATTCATTCATCTTATGACATTTCTTTTATTGTACTTTGGCCTTAAAGCTTCCACAAGACTTTCACAAGATCTTTCTTCTAGATGCAAGGAAACAAAAAAACCCCATAACTTCCTTTTGATCTGTTATCCAGGATTCATCCAACACAGGTAGCACTTGGCAGTTAGTATTTGGAGTTTAGCCTGGTTTTTGAGGTTGAACAAAGAACTGAGGCTTTGTTGGCTCTGAAGAGTTTGTGCTTATATTTAGGAAAATCCAATATTACATGGACAAAATAATTTTTATAGCTTTGACAGAATAAAAATAATTGAGAAATAATGATGCAAAACAATAAAAGAAAAACCAAGAAAGAGGTGAAAGAACTGTGTTAATGAGTGCAGTGAAAGATGGATTTTTCATTCAAAATTTTTATGAGCTTGGTTCACTAACTTATCATTGTCATTCTTTTGATAAAGCTAGGTTTTAAATTTTACTAATTTTATAACCATATAATCTCTGTGGTTTAAAAATTATCATGAGTCAGTGCTGGTCTTTTTTTATTTCTAATAATAAGGATTCTGACTGGTGCATGTAAGATTAGAAAAACACCTTCAGTAACCTTTCGTTACTTTGTCAGCCAGATAAATATTCTTGAATAAAAGTTGACTGGAGGACTTTTGATTAGATTCCCAAGGCCAACTGTTTTTCTTGATCTGATTCTTGTCTCATTGTGGCATTATGGAGACATAAAACACTTGCCATCAATAGTGACATCGGAGTGACACTATCTACTCCATGCAGATAACCTAATTTAAAGTCAAGGCATCCTTTTAAATAAATGTTAATTAGATTCCTACTTAAATACAGAATAGGTAGCATTTGGGGGATTTGAGCTCTTCTCATATTATGAGGCAATTGGGATGGGGATTCAACAGAAGAAAAAATGATTGGTTTTACAGAAGGATTAGAAAACAGCAATTCCCGTTCCTGGTATTAAGAAAATAAAATGGAGTGTGTAGTGTGTACTGTTCCCTAGAACACTGGCTTTTGATCAGATGCTCTTTTTGATGGGTTTCTCATCAGGCAGTAAGCATGCATTCATGTTGCTGATAATTACTTTTCCATGTACTGTAGAAAAAGATGGATTTGTTGGATCTGCTCTGTTAATTTTACCACTGTTTGTTTTCGTAGTTATCTGTAAAGTTAAGTTAAAATAATTCCTTTTTTTTTTTTTTCAAAGAAGGAATAAAAGTTCCATAGTTTATTATACTGTTCTCACAGTACTGCTTTTACAGAGAACTGATGAACCGCTTCAGTTAAAGCTGTGTAGTATATAAGGTCTAGGGAGGACTGGAGGTTATGGTTCTGTGTTTAGAGCAATAAAGTTTTCTGCAATTTCCTCTTTTCAGTTGGATCTGTCAGGAGAACTTAAAGTTTTCCAATTCTTTAGCCTTTATTAGAGTCTCTGTCATGAGAACGAGTTATCATAGATTTTAATTTGCCTAATACAGATTTATTTTCCCATTACACATTCATGTGATAACATCTGTAATAACAGCAGAAACTGGTACTTTATTAATTCATGCCTATAATAAAACCCAAGATGGGAAGAAAAAAAAAGAATATAGAACAAATGCTAATAATTTTTTCTGACACATTAAAGATTTTTAACATAAGCAGGAAATGGCCTGGCAGTTATCTTTCTCATGGTGAGATTAGTAAAGGGAATGAAACACAGTAGAATTACTTTCTTGACAATACTATTGTTATTTTGTGGCCAGCTTGAGCAATACATTGAGCTGAACTGGAAACATTTCATAAATTTTGAGTTTTTCTGGAGAATACGTGCATATGCTCAAACTGCTCTTGTCTGGATTGCATTGAAGTCATCAGAGATTTATGAGTAACTTACCTTACAAACTCTTAAAGCTTGTAATCTCAGGTAATGTAATATGATGGCGTATGAAAGAAGATCTAAAATATATGCATTGCTATCACTTCCAGGAAGATCTATGTTTAAGGAACTGTAGACCTATTTGTGTCTAAATATTAGAGACAGAATGATAAATTCTCTTGTTTTTAAATGAATTTTCATAAAAATATTGCCTCTTAAGTGCAAATGAAATTCAGAAGCTTGCTATGAAACATGCAGGAACAGCTGCACTCCTGTCACTAGGAACTGGGAAAAAAAGCAGGAGTAGGAGACTTGTGAGTAGTTTATCAGACTCAGTGAAAACGTATCCTGACACCAGTATTAGCACAGTGTTTTGGATTCTGTTTACAGATTTATTGAATTTTTAAAAAATTTTCTTCTCAGGCTTTGGAAGACCAGGTCTGGGACCTACTCCATGAAGCAGACAAGGCTGCAGAGGAGAACAAAGAAAAAAGTCAGGTTTATGATGCTATGGCAGAGACCCTAGGGGATGCATGGGATGCCCTCATCATTATGTTAGAGAAGCGTCAGGCACTTCTGGAACTTACTTCAGTGTTCTTTGAAAATGCTCTGGAGGTTTGTATTTAAATCAAATGACTCTTAATTTGAAACCTCCCACATCTTACAGGTACTCTGTCCACTGTAATTTTACTCTTATAAATGTTCATTGCATTCCTAAAGGTTGAAGTGATTAAGAAAATAAAAATCTCTACACACATCCTTCCTTTTCCAGCTTCTGGATAGTTCAGGATGAAACTGAACAAAAAACCATGGAGATTTTAATAAATATCTTAGTCATGATGTCTCAAAAATTTGTACTTGACAGAAAAGTGACAGTGAAAAATGGAAGTGGACCAAAACCAAAAATACGTTAATTCAGTGCCTATGGACATTCTGCAGAATATCTTTCATTCCTTATGATTCAAATTATTTGATGTTGAAAGAACTAAATTCTCAGATGCCTTCATTAATGCTTACTGAAGATTGGCCCCTGAAGGTTTTACACAGAAATATCCATACAGCGATTGTAGTTACGCAAACTAAACATTAGTCTAACTTGCCAATCCTTTACCTGAGACTTCCATGTGCAGATGTGTACAAAAGGACAACTGTGTGAGTTCAGAGACAGACTTCAGAGTGTTGTCTTTCCTTGTTTACCCATTTCATATCCTCATATCCTAATTCACTGATACACAGGGAGCTAAAGAAAAGAGGGATTCCATGCTCACTTTGTGTAGCCTCACATTCAGTCATCCCCATGTTCCTGGAGCTTTGAAGAATTTAATAATTCTCCCTGATAATTTTGTTTCTATAATATCGCAGTGCCACCTGTAAATTACAGAAGCAACCATTCTACTGCTAACTACCTTAAGAACTCAAAGGTCAACAATCTACTAATTATTTTGTCCTGTCAATGTGTATTATACAAAGAAATTAGTATAGACTTGACATAAGTATCACTATGATAAATTCTGTGCCGCCAAAGGTTGACCTAGTGCAGACTAAGTCCTTAAGGGGCTAGCTGAATTGCCCCTGCAGCCGGCTTATATCATTAAAACAAAATGCAGCAGCTCGGGCACAGCACACATCATACCTGTTATATATAGAAGGGAAGAAGAAATGCAGTATCAATGTAAATAGGAGTTGCTGAAACTTCTCATGGAAAGGCTTTTCTTAAATGACAGCCTGTAATTATTGAAATATTAGTTTTATTGTGATAAAACACAAAATGTATCTCAAGTATAGTCTTTAGTGAAAATCAGAACTCAAATCTCAAATGTTGATACCTAATGGATTTCTATCATAGCGTGCAGATCAAGAGGGAGAAAAATGTATAGCAACAGAAAAGATGGAAAAAGCAGAGTGCTTGCTTTTCATCTTCCTTAATTTCACTGTAGGTTTCAACATCTTTGCTTACTCTAAAGCACAAGTTTGAACTCTACTGTTTTCTTCATTCTTGAAATGAAGCAGTAGAATTGATGAAGACTGGCTAAGATGCAGAATATGTGTCTCAGCTCTCTCTGAGACACTCATACTTTTGGAATTGCACCTGCAAAGGTGGAAGCCAAATAAAAAATTCCAATCTTAATTCAACAATCTCAGCAGATTGCCAGATCTCCCTGAAACACAGCACGTTTCAATATTTAAGCTATGGAACCCATGTAAAAATGAGCTGTAAAGGGGTAACCTAACTTCAGTCTTCATTACAGAGATGGTGTTTCCCCACTATAATTAATTACTGGGTTTACGATAATATTAGCTTAAATTTGCTACTTATTTCTGCCTTCAAAAATGTCTTTGAAGATCTGCTATCTCTGTCTGATGTTGCCCTTAATTTTTGTTCCCCTCAATACTTCAACATTAGAAAGAAGTTCTGGGAAGGAGACCTAAGTTAAAGGTTTCATTCATGTTAAACTATTTTAGTGAAAAACCTTGAAATTAGCAGATTCTCCCATAAGAATTTATTTCCATTGGGTTTGCATGCTATGTAGGAAAGATGATTCATAAGTGACAAATTGTAATTACAGAGTATATCAACTGAAATTTGGGGTCCCTCCGTCAATGAGAACCTCAAAAAAACAGAAGGTGCTTAGAAGCCACAAAGCATCTGTATCTAGGAGTCACTAAAAATGCCTTTTTCCAAGAATTTACAAATTCTTATGAACTTTCCCTATAATGCAGAGATTATGATGGAGTTCTGCAAAAGAAAATTATACTGTGCTTCTTCCCACCCTTTGTTTTCTTAATGCAGTTTGCTGTTAAAATTGACCAAGTTGAAGATTTCCTGAAAAATGCCCAGGAGTTTGACAATATTGACTCTTTGAGAGAACTCCTTCTGCAACAAGAGCATCATACAAAAGGTACAAACACTCTTCCACTCCTGATGGTGTGTGATTGTTGCTGACTCCTTGAAGGATGATTTTACTTTTACTGTGTGTATTTAAAAAAAAAAATCTCAGAACAAATGTGAAAATGTTCTATTTGGAAAGATATAATGGTGACATACCTCTTTATCAGGCCTCCTGAAAGATATGAAACTCCTAGTTTTGAGATAGCTCTCCCATGTTTCCATCTTTGGTGCTGCACAGCTGCTAGTGGTAAGCTTGTATTCTGAGTTCAAGGCAGTCCAGGTCAGGTTTGCTGCTAAGAAACCAAACTGACTTTTAGTGCTGATTGGCACACAAGTTCTAAACCTGTCCTTCTGTTCCATAGGAAAATTCATCAAAGTTATCATAGCTATCAAGGAACTAGCATTTTCCTATGTAAAACTTTCCATTAGAAAATTTCCAATCAGCTCTAGTGAGAAACCCCTGCAAAGTCCTACAGTTTCTTGAGAGTGGCCAAGGGAGAGAAGTCTGCCCTTTGCTTTCCTTTGCCTAGGGATGAGGTTTGAAGCAGAAGTGTTAAAGTGAGGGTGACAGCTAGGAGATAGAGGTGGCAGCATGCCAACTTCAAAATCCATTTGCTGGCAGTGTGGTTCCCTGTATTTTGCTTCTGCCTCTGAGGAGTAGGGCTGTATTTCACTTCCCCTTTCAGTTTTCCAGTCTGTTCCAAGAGGTTCTGCAGGTAGAACTGTAACACTCTTGAAAAAAAGGTGCTCTCTCCCTTTCCACCACAACTTTCCTGCACATATGTTTACCTAGTAAAAAATCTTCCATGTGACTTCTTTTTATTAATTCAAATTTTTATATGAAGCATCTTCTACCATGTTGTGATATTCTTAATTCAAAAAGGGCATTTTTTTTTTCTCAAAACCAATCTCCTGTGGCTACTTCAGACACCTTTGCAATTCCATAAGGTTCTGTATTTTTTATAAGACTTAAGACTCCATCTTTGTAAATTTAACCAAATTTTGTTATAAGATTACTAATAAATTGCACAATATCAATTATGCTTAATTATTCACTAGTGGAGTACCAGCTTAAATATTTTTAGCTACCTTGAATGCCAGGTGTTCTTCTCAGGAGACTGAATAGAGAATTGAACTCAGGTAACTGTAGTATGGGGTTTGGGCCTTCCAATTCAGTCTTCATGGGAGCAAAGTGCTCACTGTGTAGCAATTTTAACCTGAAGTATCTGGCAGTAATTTATTGCTAAAAAGAAAGTCTGTAACTGTAAGAATCAGATGAAATGGTTTGCCAGAGTAAGACTGCTTTGATGGGGATAAGCCTTTACTCAGATGGAGGAAAGTGGTTGCAAATTATTAGCTTTTTAACCTATCTTAACCACATCAAATTTGGAAAACTGGTATTGAGCTATTTGATAAAAAACAGTGTATTGCTTTCTGCAAGGATACTATCTACCCACTCCAAAGTAAGGTGGCTGAAAATATGAAATTTACGAAGTATTGGCTCTAACAGTATGTGATGAGTAGATAATCACAGGTGTTTCTCACAAAAAAAAAACCAAAACCAAACCTTTGAAACAAATGCATTGCAAATTAGAATAAAAAAGGTGAAAATATATGAACTGTCCTCATTTATCCATATTTATATGTATTCCATTTTGGATGGGCTGAAATGGAACATTTCTGTTTAATACCGTCTTTCTGGAAGGCAAGAAGTAAAATGGACAGGCTTGTTGCAGTCAGCTCGTGGAAACTAAACTCTCGTGTTAGCTCTTGGTGGCTGGAGGCATTCCACTTCTGCATCTTCCCTAGGTCCTCCATATCAAAGTTGGAGATTTAGGGTGCTTTGCCTTAAGTTACCAGCACATGTACTTAGCTGCGAAGATGAATGTTTCAGCTGCTTGCTGCCTGTTGGTTGCTTCACTAACAGCATCTTGTAAACATTCCTTTCTTATACTTTTCTTCATGCCTACCTTGCCTCTTATTTTGGCTTGGCTCCACTTCCTCATTCTGTACCTAATAATCTTCCCTTTTTGTTTGAAAGACCTATAAATACTGATCATTTTCTGTTCAATGGTCTTTATACTATGTGGCTTTAAGGAGCTGAAACAAAGAGAGACACATGACTAGTAGGTCATTAAAGTGTACTATTCCACTGAAGTTTAACTCTGAATGTATCTAGGTTGAGGTTATGAAAAGAAGGTAAGATTTCCTGATATTCATGACTTATATAGTCATCAGGTAATAACAGCCCCCAGACAGTAGAACTTCCTTTCAACTTCCGTGAGGGACATAAAGAGATGGACTTTGTTTGTATCACTAATGAAAGACTACAGAGGCTACTGACCCATGCAGAAAGCAGGGTAGTAAATTCTACTTCAGCTTACCTGAGGACTGGGAAACCATCAAAAAGAACTCAGTTTTGAGAAAAAAATATCACTTCTGAGTTTTGTCTCAATGGCTCTCAGTACACCGTTATATGTTTATTTATATTATATTATTATATTATGTTGTATTATAATATATTTATTATACATATTATAGTTATTATATTATCTGTACCATTATTGGTACTTATGTATGTAAATACACTGTTATAGCTTTGTAGGTTTATATAACAGCTGTCCAGATTGAAATATCTTAGGATACCTACCTTCTAAAGTAAGTATTTATAACCTGTTGATGCAATGTATGAAAGTATGTTACGCTTTTGTATGCAGATAGGTACTTTTAAAATTGAGTACTATTTGAAATACACTACTAGAATTAGGAATTATTTTTTTTTCCTATGAAATTCTGTTCTTACAGAGCTTTTGGAAAAGTCACTTGCACTTTTAAACAAAAGCCAAGAGCTAACTGAATTCATAGAAGAATTCAAATGTGAGGGGCCAAATGCAAATCCAGAGCTGATTCAGGGAGCCCACAGCAGCTGCTTGAAAATTGACAATCTCCTTGAAATGCTACAAGACAGGAGACGGCAACTGGACAGATTTCTTAAACATCAGCACCAAGGACTGGAGCAGGTTCTGCAGATTTGCTTGTGGCACCAAGAAGAGAACCAGGTAAGACACTTAACATTAAGGGAAGCCACAATAAAAACAAACAAACAAACAAAATTCACAACTGTTTTACTGTAGAAACTGTGATAGAAAAGGAGCTTAAATATATTTATTAGGCCAATATCCCTGGGCCACTTCTGTTTGATGAGATCCTAACTTTTGAATATTTGATTTTGTAACTATAACATCCTCATAATTTATTTTAATCTAACTTTAATGTTTTCAAAGGCACTATTTCGATTTTGTGGATCCCTCCTGTAAGTTATCAAATGTGATGCTTCAAACCAAACTAGAGTCCCTTCAAAATGAATTCCCAGCACAAACAAACCTCTAACCACATGAGCGATAACAGTAACTCCTAATAGCAATTATAACTGCAGCAGGCTGTTCCTGGACTAAAGACAAGATAGCCAGCTGGTGTGTCTGAAAGCAGAGGAGTATTTTGTTCTTGGAGTTAAATCAAAGTTCTGTGGAGTACTGTAGTGACTGCAGGTTTTCCACCCCTTCAACCTGTTTTTCTCTCTTTTCTCCCAGATTAGCTCCCATCTCTTACTGAATTTCTCAAATACAGCTCGTTTTTATACCTTCCTTTCAGTGTTTAGGTACCCTTTCTCTTCCTCTTTCCAGTCCTACTGATCTTTTTCCTTTTCATTCCTCATCTCCCAGCATTCAGATAAGGTAGCTCTTCTCCCTTTGTGCTCTGTATTATCAGAGAAACTTCGGCAGTGTAAGACTCCCTCCTCTCATTTTCCCTGCGAAACACCACATAGCTTCACCAACTTGTCAGAAAAAAAGATATGGGGAAAGTCCCGCTTTGCCTCTTTGTAAAGTAAGCATGCTGAGATGGAGGAACCTATGCAAATTTAATTGCCAAAGTCTAACAAGACTAAAGCTGAGTTATTTTCAGTATTTTGTAAACAGGCTAAAATTTTGTATGGACCTCTGACAGCACAGTCCTGATTGTGATACCTCTGTAAGTTTCCTTCTTTGCCTCCAAAATAGTTTCCCCCTGTACCCAAGGAAAATATTAGAAACTATTAACAATAGACTATTCTGTAGGCAGAAACTTTGCCTGTGAGGTTAAGATGAGAAGCACCTTATTCAACAAGCACAACTCTTTGTAATTTTGCATACAGACAACAAAATTGTTGAGGTACACAGGCAAGCTGACAGCCTCATTTCTGGAGCACTCAATATCAGTAGAAACAGAGCAACAACTACTTATTTAATTATTAGATAGAAAAAAACCAGATGAAAATAGTATGGTCTTATGCAAGTGTTGTAATCTCAGTATGTTGTTATAAAATAATAGCTGACAAAAATACTGAAAAACAAGAACTACAATATAGGAGGCTATATCCATTTCCATGTAAATCATTAGAAACCATCTACTGCTTGCTTTGAGATGCATATTATTGCTGCTGTTATTTCAGTTCTTTTTCAGTATCACCACATAGCTATACCATAAAAGAAAGATCCTCAAAAAGAGATTTGTTCTAATATAATGTGTTCCAATAAATTTACAACAGGTACAACTGAGCTTTCAGTATCAGTCTAACTCACTGTATTGGAAATATGTCCTATTTCATCTAGAAAAATTATCCTTTCTCTATATTAAAAAGTATTAGATGTTACTACAATTATTTGATCGCGACAGTGTTATTCCATGGTATACAAACATGGAGGAATATCCAAGATGGAAACATTTTGGAAATAGCTTGCTGTTAAAGAGTAAGGGATAAATATGTGGAGTCTTTTTTGGAGCCAAGCACACTTCTTTAAAAAAAAAATAAAAAATCACATTGCCTGAGTTGTTAAATGTCATGATTTCGTGAAGTTTGCCAGGGAATTCTACTTGTCCTCATCACATAAGGGATACATCTTTGGGAGTAACCAGATAGAATTCACATGAATTTAGGTGGAACTGAAAATATTGTGTGGTGAATTTTTTGTGTGTATATTACTGTAGTATTGTTATGAAGAGACTGAAGTGTTCCCAAAATGAAACCAGACATATCTGTATTGTCGTGATGATACCTTCACATACTTATGATAAAAATATTATTTGAGATTTAAGATACGAAGGAAAGCTTTATACAGTGATTATTGAATGAAACAAACCTGTCTGGTGTTTAACAAAGGGAGCTTATTTTGAATGCACTGGAGATATAATTTGAGAATAGCTCATCCTGCAGTTCAGAGTAGGTATGTGAAAATACATAGCGCAGGCTGCTCAATCCATACTGCCCGAGGTAAGGTCCGATTTAATTTACGGCATGTAAGTATGTGTGTTTTAATGCATACAGGAAGAAAGAGAGTTAAACCCCAAAGTTTTTCCTAGTAGGAATAGTTTCTAGGAAGAAAAGCATGTTACATCTTATTTTCTGTTCTCTGCTATATTTGCTCTTCCTCTCTATAGTCTCATGTTGTGTCAGATTGTTCAAGAGTTTTGGTAGAGCCTAGAACAAAGTATTTGTGTATGAGCTTTGAATTGGTCTGTGCAAGAATTCCCCTCCTTCTGAAAATTCCGCTGGCTATGCAACTGTATGGGGTGCCAGTGTCCCGCTCCGTGGAGAGAGACTGGGGCTGCCTCATGCCCGACACAGCCGGTTCCAGCCGGCTCCACAGGGGTGGTGCTGCAGGGCGTGGCTGAGCTCCTCAGCCAAGCCAGTGGGGCCTCTGGTAAAATCTGTTTAAGAAAGGGTAGAATGCTGCACAGACATAGCAAGGAGTGAGGAGAAAGAAAAAAAAAGAAGGAGAAACAATGCTTTAAACACCAATGTCAGTGAAGGAGGCGGAGGAGGTGCTCCAGGTGCTGGAGCAAGTATTCCCCTGCAGCCTGTGGAAGTTTTGGAAGAGACCACACCTCAGCAAGCATTTCCCCGCAGCCTGTGGAGAGAACCATGTCAGAGCAGATATTGACGCTGCAGGTCATGGAGGAGTCTGCAGTGGAGCAGTTGGATGTTCCCTGAAGAAACTGTGGCCATAGAGAGCCGTGCTGGAGCAGGGTGTCCTGACAGGAACTGCAGTCCCTGGAGGAGCCATGCTGGACTAGGGGAAAAGTGTGAGCAGGAAGGAGTGACAGAGAGGAACTGTTACGTACTGACCATAACCCTCCATTCCCCATCCCCCTGTGCCACCTGGTGAGAGGGGATAGGTGGAGGAGTTGGAAACAAAGGAGTGAGATTGAGCCTGAGGAAAAGGGCTGAGTAGGAGGAAGTTGGTTTAGTTTTTTTTTCTCACCAAATCTATAATTGGCAATAAATTAATTTAATTTTCCACAAGTTGAATGTTTCAGTCGTGGTGGTAACTGGTAAGTGATCTCCCAGTCTTTACCTCAACCTGTGAGGTTTATGATTTTATTTTCTCCCCCTGTTCTGTAAAGGAGAATGAGTGAGAGAGTGGCTGGGTGGGTGTCAGGCAGCTGGCCAAGGCCAAGCCTCCACAAGCTAAGCTATGCTCTTGGTTTGGGTTGCCCCCCAGTTATTTGTTGAAAAATTTGCTTCTCCTACTGAATTGACAGTGGGAAATGTAGGAGACTATGAGCATTGAAGTCACCTGGACCATAATCAGTGCAAAATGAGCAGTTTAGCAACCTGAGAAAAATGTTGAAGGGCCTTTGATTTGTGATATGGATTATTCATCACAAGCAGAACAGATAATTTTTGTAAATGAATGATAAAATCTAATTTTTGAACAAAGAAGTGATTTTAGTTTTCAACCAATCAAGGAAACCACTCTCTTTTTCAAACAGATATATTAACCTTCTCTCCTTTCCCATCCCTCCACCAAAATCACAGAATGTAAGGTTATGTGGGTTTCTTTCTTAAAAAGAATATTCCCAGCTGTTGCTTAAGAGCTAAGCTGGCACATCTGGGGTTTTAGCTAGCTGATTAAACTCACTGTAGTGGAAAGAAATATTGCCAACTGGTAAAGAGGTGAATACTTTACTACAACAGGGTTAAATAATGACTTTTTCCTCTGCTTAGCATTACAGAAATACTAGTTTGTTTTGGTAAGGAGATACATGATACAGAGAACAGTCCTAATTTACAGATAATTTTTTTTTCCCTTCTAGCACAGTTTTTATTGTTCATTCAATTTGTTTGTATTTTGGTGGACCCATAGTAAATGTTCAGTGAAAATGTGCTTCCAGGAAAAATGTTTCAATCAGTAAGTACACATCTGGAAGATATGCTCAAGAAATGAAGGCTTGGTAGTAAAATAATTTGTTTGCTTTCCTAGCTCTGCTGAACTCCTGAGATAATGTCCCCAATTTTTTATTTGTAGCTGAAAATGTTTCCAACACATTTTAAAGGCTCTGTCATTTTTAGAATTGTTTAAATTTATTAAAAATAGCTTCTACATGAGCAGCTAAAAAAAAAAAATCTGTAGTGTGCTATTAAAATCTGTAGTACCTAGAATACAAAGTAATTCTGAGTATGCCATATATGATTTAAGTACAGTGATGATTTTCCAGACTAAAAAGATTGGAGGAAGTTTTCTTGACATTAATAACTCATTTTGACTACTATTTTAAAATGTAAAGCTTCACTCAGGAATTCTTGCCATGTATTGTTTACAAAGAAAGTGAGAGGTACCTTCTGTGAATCAAACAGAAATAAATGCAAGTCATTCTGTCCAATTTAGAAGATATACTTGGGTACCACACGTTTTCTGCACATATTTGCTGAAGTATGTCTAGTAAGATGTAATAATTTTTTTTAAGCAACTAAAGATTACTCCACGTAATATTAACTCAGTAGTTTACCTGGGTTTTTCAAGCCAGGTACGGAGAGGTTCTATTAGGTCATAAGGCCCATTTAGTCTTTTTTTTTTTTTTTTTTTCATTATTGCAAAATTACTCAGTTTTGTCATCTTTTACTGTACACAAAGGGACGTTTTAAAGTTAACATCATCCTAGGGAAAATGTGCAATATCTTTATCATGTTATAAAACATATATGTGTGACTATAACTTGATTTTTCTTTTTCTGTAATAATTTATAATTTCAGCATGCTTTATGAATGCGTTTTTGTCTGTTTTGTTACATATATTCCAATGTGTTTGTTTTGACCACAATCCTTTCCTTCTTCATTTATTAACATTTAAATAATACACATGCAACGTTTGAATAAAAGCATGTACATTAGGAATGAAAATTGAAAGGAATGAAAAATGAAAGGAATGAAAAATAGGTCATCTTGTGTAGATGAAACTGTCTTGCACATTTTTTAAAATACAGTCACTTCTCGAAATTTTCACTGGCTGGATTATTTTTGTTATTTATTTAGGTAACATCTTGGTACAAGAAAAACATCAGAGATTATTTTCACAAGCAAAACTTGGGCTCATCTCTATTGGAAAATGAAGAGTTACTTCAAGAGCTTGAAGAAATGGAAGTCAAAGTTAAAGTAAGAAATATGATAATTGATCAGTGAAGCAGCTTTGAAAATGAGAAGCAAAACATGAACTGGGGCATTTTTAAAATAAGCACATATGGAAGTAGACAGTTGGTAGGTGTACATAAGATGTATATTTCTATACATCTAAATTAGATGCAGGCCTCCATGTTTCTCAGTGTTTTTCTCTGAGTAAGCTGTGGGTTGTTTTCAGAGAAATGGGGCCCACAAAAATATTCAGGTGTCCTGAAGTACTGCAGAATTTTAGAACTATCCAAATGATAATTAATCTTCCTCATTTTTGGTGTTGAAAGGCTATTCTTGTAATTTCCTGGCTGAATTATAAATGAAGTGCAGAAAGGAGAACACTATGCATTTTCATTTTTCTATAATAATAAATTGTTTTAGTGGTTGAGCATCCAGAAACTAACTTTCAATGAAAACACTTAATATTACAGTTTCACCTAACAGTTCTTCTTCCATACATTATGTAATAGATCATTCATATAATCTTACTGAATTGCTCTTTTTTTCTTAAGGTCATTTGAAAGTATTTAGCATGAACAGTTTGGGGTTTTTTTGTTTTTTTTTTTTTTGCATCCATGTTAATTATGATTTAGAACATCTTACCTTTAGCCTTCTGCTGTTCTTACTAGCAGGATGTTCTAGCAGAGGGAGGTTAAATTCTTGAAGTGGATGTTATTGAATATGTTGGTTATGCTTATGTTGTGCAAAAAGAGTGGCCAGGTTGAACTGCATACTGCGAATATCTTTCAGAAAGCTGAGTTATGGGGCTTTGTGCATTAGTTTTTACAGCACTGAACTGCAGATGTTGAGACTAAAATAAAGGAGGAGAGCCTGACATCTTGATTTTGAAATTCAGATAAAGTATACCAATCAAATGTGTATTCCAGTAAATATTTGCCAGATAGTAGAGATTAATGTTAGATGTCATCACTGCACAAAGCAGTGTTTTAACTGCATGGTTGGAATACACTGAAGTACAAAACAAACTGGCAATTAATTTGCATCTTTGCTCAAAGACTAAGCAAAACCAGGATTGTAAGGTATACCATGACAGAGCATGAAATTCCTTAAATCTTTGGAAACTCACAGGCCTTCAGCATCTGATCACTGATCTGAAGTATGTTCACTTAGTATGTATTTTGGAACTGCACTGCTGTTGTGTGAAGTATTCACTCTGAGAAGCTGTTGACTAATTCCATGCAGAAGTTCAGGGAAGGCTGGTGAAGAACTAAATACAATGTTAAAAAAAAAAAATTTACTAGTTCTGGAAACTGAAATATTATTTCCTCTGTATTCCCATACATGTGTGCACAAAATTCCCTTAAGCCACGCTTCCTGTAAAATGTTAATTGCAGTTGGTCATACAACATGATACTATTATCCGGGGAGACTACTTTCTAGGATACAATCTTTCATCCCAGTAATGACACAAATTCTTGATAAGTGTGAGCTGTTTTGTTCCAATGGGTCTACTTTAAAAAAAAAAGTTTTACGCACTCTCTATAACTGGCATCCTAATTATTGTATAGCATTCCACTACTTTTTGTGCAACTAGAAACTTTATTAAGCAATGATTTTATAATTTCTTCCAAATCACCTGTGAAGTTATTAAATATTTCAAGAATAAATTTAAGAATAGAATGATTTTAAAAATACAATACTAGCAATCTACCTAGCTTTCTGTAAAGCAAACATCTGTAATTGCCAAAATATGTTTTCAGGCTGCATTCAGACTACAAGAGTATTGGGATGTTTAACAACTCTGCCACATTTGTCCAGCCTAAAGTACTTTGCAGAAAATGATAGTATCACTGTAAAGTGACACTGAGTACCTTGTAACACAGTCTGCTATAAAAACATGCAATACGTTCTGTTTTTTGGAGCTCTAGGTTGACATACATTTTATACATATGCATGTGATCACCACACATTTGGGTATTTGCTGGGCACTTCTGTGGTACAGAGTCATCAGAATTATTTTCTATTTGTTTGATTTTTGTCAAATGAGATTTTTCAGCAAGGACTCACATTCTCCCTGACATCAAGTGTTATTACGTATCTTGACAGTAACTTGTAATGTATGGTAAAATTTTAAAACATTCAGAAAACTATTGCCAGATTCACATGGAAAATGGGGGGAAAAAAATCTCACCACACCACAAAACCGCCACTGTACATAGCTATGGTACCATTCCTTGTTATTTGGAAAATCTTAGAGTAGGAGTTGAGTCCAGCTTTTCAACTGGAATGACAACTAACTGCATTAGTGCTTCAAAATTCCTCCACCTCTGTTTTACTGAGCATTTTTTTAATATGTCTGATGTTTTCATGTTTTATCGAGATAAAAGCAGACACCAGTTTTTACCGTGTATATATTGGAAGCAATCTCTTTAACAATAGGAAAAATACAATATAAGTTTTTTCTAGTAACAGTAAATCTATAGTTAGGATTACCTTCTCTTCAGCAATCCTTTTAGTGTCTGACTTACATTCTAATTAAAAAAAAAGTTAATATTCTACATTAATTTCAGAGAGAAATGTATTTTCCAGAAGTGTTCAGAAGTTTTATCAGTTCAAACAGTTAACTATTTTATCAGTTTATGTGAGAAAATATAGAAATGCTTGTGAAGAATATTTCAGCTTATGTTTAGGAAGAACCCTTAGGATACGTCACTAATTAATGAATTACGTAGCTTGGTCATTGCTTAGAGCATAGCTGATGTCTGCTGTCATTTGTATAGTTCCCTCATGCCAAAACTGAATGTTTCCAAAAAGCAATTAGGGGCTTTAAAGTATTTTATTTACCTTGCTGCAAAAATAAAGGTAGATTTTGGTTAATGTCCTTCCCATACTGTATGAATGGCCATGACAATTTCTAATAGCATTCTGTTAGAAGTAAGAAAGACATTGATAAAGATGTCTTGAACTACTTAGGGTTTCTGTATTAGGATCTAAAGTAGTGTAAATGAGTCTTTTCATATGTGTACTGTAGCTTTGAGGGGATGGTGGAAAGTTTCTGTGTAATAGATATGCAGAGCAAGCGTGAGTGTTCTCATAGGGAATATGATGGTGGAAAGTTCTGGTATCTGAACAGTGTCACACAAATAAAATACATGTGTTTACTTACATGTATTATTGCATTAAAATGAACAGGACAAATTATTTGCTTAGATTGTTCAGAGGCTAACCTGAGAAGGATTTACAGGATTAAGATCTTATTTATGTGACTGGGCTGATTGAAGAAAGAAGAATGATTTATTACATTTTCAGGTTGATATCTTGTCTTGAACCTCACCTTGCTAAGAGTTGAAACCACTGAAAACATTGTCGCTATCTGATACAATAATCAAGACCAGAGGAAAAAAACAAGGATTCATAATACGAAAGAAAAGCCCTCAACCCCAACATGGACACACATGAACATACACGCACAAAATTTGAGAGTAGAGGGGAGGCAGATTTAGGAAATCATGTTTCAGTGGGGATACCTGCTTGCACTGATTGCTTTCTCTTACATTTATGTGTGTATTGGAGGTGCTTGGCATGGTAAAAAAGAACTGCTAGCACCACTTTGTGGCCAAATAACTTGAGAGATGAAGAAAAGTAGTATTCTAAATTGTTTTTATTTTCTCTGCTTTCTGCCACTTTTCAGGACTGAACAATGCTGTAATTAGTCCTTCTTTTAATAAGGATTAGTAGCAAGATGGGGAGTCCGTCTTCTCTGTTTTATAGATCTGCATGCTTACTGGGTCTGGGGTAGCCATGCTACTGTGATTTCAGGATGGTTCTTAATGACCAAATTAAGTATCACCATCAATAGTATTAATTGCTGTATTTGTTGACATTTACATAAGGATTGAGAATATTGTATTTACATGCTTTTTTCCCCCCAGATGTCACAGCTAATGCTTAGATACATGGAAAAGTTACTTAATGGTTAAATGTCTATCTGGAACTCTCTTCTCTCTCTGGCCTTCCTGGATGGCCATGCTGCTTTGCCATTCTCTGCATGGATGCAAACTCTGGCTCTCCAGCTCTTCTTGCCAGTTTTTCTGGCACTCTGTTGAGGAGTTTGACAAGTATTGCATTTCATCTGCATAGCACATGTTTTAACACACTCCTGTCTTTTGCTAGCTAGAACAAAGCACGTAAATATTTAGGAAAAATTCTTAGGTTAAAAAATTCCTTTCGTTTGTGAGCAATTTTATTTTTACTTACACGTTCGTCTTTCTTGTGTGGCATATGCAAATCTACATTCATCTATCAGGTTCTTCTCACTGTCCAATTTTCCTGTAGTGTCATGTCACTGCCTTAGGAGAGTGCTCCTACTCTTTTTCTGTTAATGGTTTGGGAGGTTTTTTTGTTGCTGTTTGGTTGGGTTTTTTTGCTAGGTCCCTCTCTGTCCTGGTATTATCTTTTAATATCTGTCAACAATTTTCTATGAGGGAACTGACTTTGAATGAGTTTTTCCTCCTTCTGTCTGTTGATTCTAATAACTCACTGTTAAATATACTGATACAGCCATTCACTGAATTTACCAACAGACAGATAATACGGTAATTGTCATAGCAAGTCTCAATCCTTTGCATTTGTATTAGTGCACACTGTTCTATTTGTCATTTAAAGGAGTTATATGATTATATTTGTAGTTAGTTATACTGCAATGTAGTTATTGAAGGTAAAAACCTTTCAGATATTCACAGGAGCTGAATTATCAATGCACCAATGTATCCAATGATTCAATTGCAGGTAGAAGTTGGGCTCAGAAAAGGTTCAGTTGTGAACATTTTTGCAGTATGAGAGAAGGGGCTAATTTATCTCATTCTGAAAATTTGGCATGTGGTTTGAATGCTACTTCATCTACTACATGGGTCATGATCTGAAGTCAAATAGATGTGTTTCAAGGTTTTCTCATCTATTTTGGTGAAGACAATTTTACACAACTTCTCAGGTTTTAATCCAAAGTTTGAATTTTAAAGTAAGAAATGTTTACAGTATACACCAAAAAAAGACCATTTATCCCATGCTAGTCGTTTAATAACAAGATAAATTTATAGGTATTTCTACTTCGGGTTTTTTTCAGGCTTGTGATGGATATTTTTGAAAGGCTGAAAATGTTCAAGACTTTTACTGAAAGCCACAATAATTTTACTTCATCAGTTTTAATACTCTTGAAAAATACCTAATTAATAGAAAGAGCTAATTTTCCTTGCCAAATGGAATAGTGAAAGCAAGTGTTTAAAAGACTTAGTACTGTGAGGAAGAGTAAGAATAGTGACATAAGCTATGACGACAAACTGAGTGTAGTCATGTGCAATGCAATGTATCTTTAATCGGTCAGAGGAATTCACAAGCATTTCTTGACAGATTGAAAAGTGAAGGTAATAGTAGGCTCTGTGTTTCTTTCAGGGAAATTGTGTAACAAATATTTTAGGGCTGACTGACAGATTGTTATGAATTTCACACGTGGAAGGCTGAAGGACAGAAAAAAAAAATGACAAAGATTTTTCCATTGAGTTTATATGTCCTGTTGATGGAAAGTATAGGCTTTTTATATGTATAAACATTTCCTTATGAATAGAAAGCTGAAAATGAAATTGTCAGTAACTATTTTGTACAAAATTGAACTAATTTTGAGTAATGATCAGGTAGGATAGCAAATGAGTCTGTGTTGAATAGTTTCAGAGAATGTGCAAGGTTGTAGTGTTCATGGAATATTTTAAACTTATATTTTAAAAATTATTATAATAATTTGGTTTTTTGAGCTTGTATGAAAAGTTAGAGAAGAAGCTTGCATCAGTATAAACAACGCAGAGTTTAACCTTTGCTTTAAGATCACCGAAAAGCTGCTATTGGACACCTTGTACCAAGTAGATTTGTGAATGTTGTTACAGTGAAATCGTCTTATAGGAAATCATTTCACTACAATGAAACGTAGTGAAATGCTGTAATTGCCCGCTGGAATTATAATTTATGCATTGTGATACACTGGAACAATTCAGAACTTTTTTTTTTGCTTTTCTGTATCTGCTTCTATGCTAACTATAGACAGTTTCCTTCCCTGTTACATTAAAATATGCATTTTTCATTCTTACATAAAATATATTTAATTGTTATATAAATAGCACATAATAACAAAATGAGGATGCACATATTCAAGTGCTATTTCTTTGCCTTTTTTTGGTTAATTATTGTTGTCCCAGTTAAAAGCTCCCAACTGCGGTGTTCCTTTCTAATTCTCGTTAACACCTATATGTTCAAATGTTAGTGAAATTTTTATTACATTCTGACCATGGAATGCATTTGGTGCCAGTCATCTTAAAGCCATTACCCCTTGTCCTATCACTACATGCCCCTGTAAAATGTCCCTCCCCAGCTTTTTGGTAGGCCCCCTTCAGGTACTGGAAGGCTGCTGTAAGATCTCCCTTGGAGGCTTATAAAAGAAACTACCCTGTAATCTTTTTGTGCCATATGAATAGGTTGGTGTGTTTTAATGAAAAATAATTGTCTTATTTTAAAATATTTTTCTGTCTGCTTTACCAGACAGTTGATAGAAATCTGTGGGAGGAAATGCTAAACGAATTTCAAAAATCTTCATCTCCTATTTCAAAATATATTTAATTCATTACCAGAAAAAGTGGAGGAAATATGCTCCCTATGGCATGGGAAATTGCAGTATAGTATCAGATGCTCCTTTTGAACAGCATAAGGTACCAATTTTAAGTGTTGACAAGCACAGCAGGTATAAAGTATGCTGTGTATCAGTTTTACGATTTCATAGTTTTCTCTGTAAAAACACAGCAAAACCATATAAACAACTTGTGGTGGGTTATATGCTTAACCCACGACACAACTAAACACCAAAGCAGTAGTTGCAAGATAGGAAGAGATGAAATGGTGTTTTTCTCTTGACTGCCTTGAAGTAAAGCTCCTTTCCATTTGGGCTATCTAGTCTGATATGCCTTTCAATACCTTTTTGTAACCTAAAGAAGTTAGTCGGGCTGAATACTGTGATAGCATTTATCACAGGTAAAAAAAAAGTAGGAAAAAGATTTTAATTCATGAAGGTTTAATCCCTAAATTTGATGTATGATTTGGGTCAGTACACCAGAAGCACAAGTCAGTTCAGTGTGAATCACTGAAAAAAGAAATAGTAGTCAAATAGGCAATCAGTTCTGATCAGCTAACTATGCTTCCAAGTGGTGCAATGTAGACAAAATATCTACATGTAAATTTGTACTGATTCAACTGAATCCATGTTAAAGCACCTTAGTTTTAAAGCACCTAGTTCAATTAAGTGTCTGTAATATTTCTGACTCTGTAGCTTGAAATTCTGAAGTATGACCTTCCTTTTTAAAGCACGTCTTCTATCTGTCACTGCTACTAGGAAGATTCATGGTCAGATAAGGCAGAGACATGCTTTGAACAGACTTGTATTTTTGTGTAGGAAATCAGGGAAGATATACAATGGAGACTGTCAAGGATGATAGCACACCTCACTGTGATGGAGAGTAATTTGATTTAATTGATTTACCAGACTGCTCTCAGCAGAAGTTGTCTCACTGGAAGCAGTGATTATCATCTAGGCAATATTTTAATTTGTTCTTGGTTAAATAGTTGAGCTTAAGGGGCTGTTTGTCATGGGAGTGTGATCTCGCCCAGTAGAAGGTTCTTGTCTTTATATTATCCAGACCATTTTTCCCAGCAGACAGTCTAGTAACTGCCACTTATGCCTGTGAAACTGTGTCAAAGAATGTAGAATGCCACCACTGAAAACTCTGTCACTACAACCAAAATTTGCTGAAAAATCCCTCCTAGTAGAAATACTGTTTTAAATGGTGATAACTTTCCAGCCTATAAAAGCGATATGTTTTCCAGTATTTACATAATTCTTGTGCAGGAACATTACATTTCTCTGTGTAGTCAATTAAAATGGAATTTTTCCTGTTAGGAATGGAATTCCACTGTGGAACATCTGGAAGCTGAAGCACTTAAGATCTTGCTATCAGAGGACTATACAGAAAAAGAACATCTAAAGCTTTCAAATGAGAAAATCTGTCTGTTGCGAGAAGAAGTGTGCTTCCATATGGAAGAAAGGAAAGCCCTGCTACAGGAGGCCAATTACTTTTTTCATACTGCTGGCAAGGTTGGTAAGAAGCCAATTCCATAGTAATAACCTGATAGTACAACTGTCAGTGTGCTCTTGAAGGCTGATATACATGGGATTATGCAAACAGAGTTTGCTAAACAATTTGGAATGGAAAATTACAAATTGATTACCCTTTAATATTATCTCTCTCCTCAAACTTCTATCCAAAATGACAAATATGTTTTAAAAAACAAGGGGTTTTTGGTGTTTGGTTGGTTGGTTGGTTTTTTAAAGTATATTGCAAAGAGCACTCAGTTTCCAAAATAAGGTATTTGGAAAATATTATCTGCTAAAAATTGGACTTTAGGTTCATGGGCTCTGTTGTGATGGTGTAATGCCATATGAAGATACAGGAGCTGCTCTAAAATACCCAAATTTTTGCAGGCTAGTATGGATACCAGAAATGAAGTCTATGCTTGCAGTCGTCTGCACAGGGGCTAATTAATAATCAGACATGAGAAAAATCAGGGACAGTATACAGTTCCTCACACTGGGCACATCATGTACTACATGGTCAAGACATGATGTAACACCAAAGTGACCAGTTAAAAAAGCACAAGCTTCCCTTAGTCACAGCACAGATGATGAGTTAAGGCCCACGCCTATACTGAGGTCAGCAAGATAATGTGTAGGCAATAATTTCCATCACTGATGTGCTCATGTGGAGAAGCAGTGGTTTGGATTCCAGAACTAGATTCTTGCAGGTCTCACAGGAGAGTGCTGAGAGGGGTGTGCCTGTTTACTAAATTCTATACATTGCTTATTTTGTGTTGGTTGTGTTTAAGTACAAGCAGCCTTGACTAGTATGTCTGTTTAATTTTCTCTCTCTTCCTAATCTTATGCGATGAAGATGGGTAAATCATTGATGACCAAAAAAAGGAATATTTAAAACTGAATTTTTGCTTTTACAAACATCAAGTCCAGTGATAACTACTTGTATGAAAATTATTTTAATAAATTTGGTAATTAATTTATGTTACATCTTGCTTACAATACTTTTTCCTCTATTTGTCATATCTGAAGACTTTAATACACTTTAAAGAGTTCTGTTCATCGTTTTTCATTTTTTTGATTGACTGTAATGTAAGCATGAAAATAATCTTGTAGACTTTCTCTTCAAACCCCTATGCCAAACCAAAAATGTCAGATTTCTTTTTCTTCAGTCATCTTCTGAAGTCGTTTTAGACTAGTCATTGTAGTCTTATTATTATTTTTTGTCTTCTTACTGGCTCAAGGCCTAAAATCTTAAAATTCTTTTTCAGATGCTATGATATTACAGGGTAGCACTTAATCACAGTCAAAAATATATAATGAATTTTTAAATTAAGCTGATTCAAAGGGGAATTTTAATAGGTCTCCAGTAAACAACTGTTGTAAAACTTATTGTTTAAGCAAAGAAAAAAACCTGAAAAAAAAAAAAAGACTGAAAAAAATCACTATTTGTGAGTACAGCAAAGTCAAGGAAATACATGTAGAAAGGAATAAAATAATAATGGAATAATAGGCATAATAGAAATTACTTCAGATTCAGCCACACTCAGTCAAGTAGAATTAAAATGGTGAAAGCGTGCATTTATGTGGAAACAAAGTGAATCTTCAGGAATCCAGTGTCTATTATTTGATGTAAAATGCTCCCAGTTAAATCTAAAAGATTTATAGGCTAGTTACTGAAAGTGTATTCACTTGCATTTGTTCTGAGCCTTTCTCTTTTGAGAGACTAGATTGATTATGGAATTAGTCTTTCCAAAAATTAAATGATTCTCTGAACAGGTTTCCATGATATAGGAAAAATTATTATAATCCAGTTTGTAGTGGATGTCTGCCTCTGTAATAAAAATGAAAACCTTGGTTGGATGCTAATTTGGCACTAACTTGTGCTGTCTTCTAGAAACTCATCAGAGTGCTGAAAAATAAGTTGAGTAAGAAGACTTTTCCTCTCTTAAGTAGTGCTGTAAAACCTTGAAAACTTCCAGCTTCCCTCAAAAGTGTTAGAATGCTGAGGTGGGAAGAGGATGGTACAGGTAATTTAAAAGTTTTCAACCTAAAATCAAAGTGGGGCAAACTCATGGGAACAAGTGATAGAAGAGCTGATTAATAAAGAATTGAGGGAGTTTAATATCATTAGTTCAAATCCATTGATATGTGTCAGGTTGACAATAGGTTTTTATGAGAAGGCCAAGTAAGGATCAAAATAAAGGTGGAAATAGTGTTACAACAGACTTCTGTGAGGTTATATTACTGCTATTTTGTGTGTTGATGGTGCAAGTGAGTAATACAAAATCCTCAAGACACTTAAAGTCGATTCAGAATCAAATCTGTTTTAAGCCTAAAAATGGGAAAATAAGTAGAATTTTTATCAATAGATGAGCTTATAATGGAGTACTGTGGATTAATTGCAGGTATGTTTCTGCTTAATATTATTTGTAATTTACATAAGAGTAGTAATGAAGACAGGCGATCTATAAGCACCTACATGGGCAAGGAAAGTTTAGTAACGTGATTTTTCTATCCAGCAGACAACAAAACCCACAGACAGATGTCAAACTTTGCCAAATTCCAACTAGTAATAGAGCATATTATTTAAACAGCAAAGAAATGAACTATTGGAACAATTTACCCCAGTTGTATTAGATTTTTCATAACTGCAAACTGGATGCTATTCTTTAGTTAAAGAAGTAATTTATTAATTTTATTGGCTTACCATACAATAAAAGTAAGTTGTGTTTTTACATACGTTAAAGGAAATTTGAGTTAGAGCAGAAGGATTAAGCAAAGAATCCTCTGTCTCATCAGTCCTTGATGTCACTGGATAGCTTATTCAAGCCTTTTCCAGTTGTGTGCTTATCAGATCAGAGAGCTGTCTTTTAAAAAATGGGTTCTCAATTTTGTTACCTTGATTTGGGGCACAAAGATTTGAAACAGTAGGTCATTAGCCAGTGGTGCTGACCAACTGACTCTTACACTGAAGTTAAATAAAAGTTTGTGTGCTTTTTGGGAATACTAAGCACTTATACTCTGCTATCTGAAGGCGTCCCATTGAGTTTTAAGTCTTTGATAATCTTGAAAATCAGGTGCTACATCTGAAGGCTTTCCACTGAAGAGGAGGACCTCAACATTAAGGACCAAACTTAAAATATGAAATCCCTCTGCCTCTGTTTCACAAGAAACCTGTTCTTCAAGGGCATGTGCATCAAGTAGCATTAGTAATGCAAACATTTTTTTAGTTAGATGACTAGTTAGAAAAGTCTATATTTTAAGGTGTCCAAAGAACAAATAGTTTTTTTAATTTTTTTTAAGCATATTGTTAGAAGCGTGTGTATAGAAGCTTTACAACCAGTCGTTTCCAAGGATAGCTCCAACAGCAATCTTCATAGCTCTATTAAATGTGCTGAAAAAAACAGCCTTAAGACTTTGCCTGCACAAATTTTTGTTTTGAGCACCAGGTGCGGCAGCAATTGCATTTGCCTTTAACCTGTACTATATTCCTTCCCCATTTTTTTTAACAACATGTAAACAGTACTTGATGTTGAAATTACTATACAAGTCCTTAAAGTGAGAAATATCTTTTGTTCCAATAAGCCTGATCTTTCTTGATTTCATTTATAATGAGGAATCTGAGATGGGCTGATCGAAACTGTTAAAGCTTTGCTGATAGTTAACCTCCTTCTAGTTTGGACAAAGAACTATGCAAATAGACATCTATTGCTTTGAGAGCAAAGGTAGAGTCTTTTCAGAATACAGGGCTTATGCTTTGTGGAAGTACCTGCTGAGAAAAGCCCTAGCTCAGGTCTGTCCACAGCATGCTATTACATCTGTTATGTGTGAGAGTGAACAAAACACTATAGTTATCATAGTTCAGAAAAGAGACCTTTTGAGTTGTTCTCAGGGTATACCTGAACCTCTGGACTCTCTTGACATGTAAAGGGCAAATGAGCAAAATAGAGTATTAGTTGTTTTGAAGTAGCTCAATGAGAACTACTTTTAGATCTTGTGTATCTCATTGTCATTTTAATTTTTAATGAATTCAAGAAAATAAAAACACAGAAGTGTAGCGCTTGCATTGTTTGTGCTCTGAAGTTCCGGTGTGCATTTGGCTGCATTCTGTTGTATATTTGGCTGCATTAAGCACTATTTTTCTGCTTGTTTGCAAGCTCCTTGGCTTTTTTATAATCATGTACATTCTTTGGTAAGCTTTCCTTTAAATATTAATCCATTTATATGTCTATGAAGTTACCTTCAGTTTGACTTTCTGCAGGGGGGTCTCTGTGTAGATATCCTCTGAGAATACTTGGGAAATAATACGTAGAATACTCTGAGATTGCTTTGGTATGGCAAAAGCTTGAAGACATTCACTTGGATATCTTTAAGTAAATAAATAAAGCTTTTGCAGAGTACAGTACGCAGATTCGCATTTTTAGTTAGCTGTGGAGTATCTTGTACTTTGGTGCGTAAGTTACTTCAAAATTCACCTTTTGATTTTGAACTCCAGGAAGTATATACCTTCTTCTAACTACTTTATATGCTGGGGTTTTTTTCCTCCTGTGTGCCATTGCAAAATTAAAAATAATTCAAGATAGCACAGATAGTAACTAGCTTTAAAGTGAACACACAGGAGGGACTTAAAGTTGGAGCATTCTCTGCATGAAGCTGTAGTGGTTGGAATAGACACCTCTACATGATCCAGTGAAAGTTAAATATGCTAACTAGTAATACTTACAGGTCTGGCTGAGTGGTTACTCTGAAATGCTTATTAATCAATAATCATTCTTGAACACTTTATAACTTTCCTTTGACTCTCAAGTATGGTCCTGAAGACAGGAATTCATTATACAGAACATATTACACAAAATAAATAAACTTCACTTAGTTCCTGAGTTCATGTGAATGGTCTCTGTTTACAGAAAAAATCTTTGAGATTCACATAGGTCCATGAATCTATGAGTTTCCGAAGACAATTGTAATTCCTGCCTTGATCTGAAGTTTATGGCCTTTTTCATACTTGGTGATGACTAAAAGAATTTTATGTTTTAGGAAAAGTCCTTCCTGGGTACCTTTTAGTTACGCTCCTCCTCTGATGGACTGTTCTTATTCTTAGAAAATTTTCTTTGTGCAGTCAGAATAGCTATTTTTTTAAAAAATGCTGAATCCTTTATTCTGCAAGGAAAAATAACCTGGCAGAAACAATAAAATAATATGCATGTCTTATTTTAATCCATTATGTATAGAAGTTGAACTACTTTTGCTCATCCTCTTTTTATTTTCCTTCATTTCTTTTGCATAGATTTCAATTATTTGAGAGAGTTCAGGCATCTCTCCTTGCTATTTTGAGTTGGCAATGTAGGGTTCATTCTCAGCTGCTGAGTTCTTGGTTCTTCTTGTAATGTGCTGTAGCAGGATCGGTCATATTGTCCCCTGAGAATCTCATTGAATTTTCACTTTTCAGCTTTTTGTGAATGTAAAACCTTGCAGAAGCCTTTAAAGTCACATTTAGTCTGCCTCAAAGTTCTTTTGCTCTTCTGATGTAGTAATTTTAAAGTTTATATAATTAAGGATAGTATTTTAACATGTATATGGTTTTGTTGTGTCTCAGAATTCTGCTCAGTGTTGAACTGAGGCTTCAAGAGCAATGTATTTTTGATTGTAAGTCTGCAAAATTCTTCACTGAACTAAAGCTTAGAGTATATATAGAGATTTGCAAAGTCAGAACACAAGTTTGATTGATCTTGTACAAACAGTTGGTTTCCTTTTAAAAATATGTATACAAAGTGGCCCATGTTATAGTCGTATTTTTAATTTGTTACATAAATGTATATATTCAATGAAAATGAATGCAATTAAACATTGTCTACTGCTTTGCTTTATTTATATTTCACATTTTTCTGGTGTTCAGAGCAGCAAAAAAATCTGTGTAAGAGAATATGGTTCTACTGCTATGATGCAAATTATGCACAGTAGGTTTGGGCGTTTCTATTTAACCAATATTACTAATTACTAACTTTAATAATAGAGTATTGCAATGTTGTCCTTACTCTGTCTGAAAAGACAGGAGTCTGTACCGAGTACTTTTGTCACTTCTGGTATTTGAGTGAGAAACTTCTGCTTGCACTAAAGGAAAACAGAGAACAGGTATAACAAAACCAAAGCAGTATATATGCAAAATCAAAGCCTACCTTTTTAATAAAAAATTATTTAATTATAATTACTTGTTGGATGTACATTTGATATATTTAAAACATTAAAAAGAGGAAGAATTTTGGTAAAACTCTTTAAGAGTTCACCTCAATAAAACTTTGAGTGCTAATGTGCTGTATTACTCTTTTTCTTTTGATTCTGCTTCATTATGTCAATTTGCCCTGACTGTTGCTGAAAAACAGAATAGTTTTAAATTCAAAGAGTAATTGTGGTTTTGCATGCCCCTGCTTATATTAACTTTTGTTGAATTAAACCTGTGTTATTCTGTGACCTGCAAAGTCAATATCAGATCCTAAATTAAAATATTACTTTTAATTTCTGAAGAAATGTCAAATATTAAATGTCCATTGATCATCTATTTATGTAAAAGAATATACATGGGTTTACTTTTTTTTTTCTTTTTTTTTTTTTTTTGCAGGTACTTGATGGTCTTGAAAGTATTGAGAATTACCTTAAAATCTTTAATTCAGAAGGCTCACATCTGCCTATCTTTACAGTGAAGTATGAGGAATTACAGGAAGCAATTAAAGGTTGGACAGCATGTGCATTGCAAAAGGGACAAACTTTACTTAATAAAGCAGATTGTCACAGGTATTCCTTCAATTTTTACATATCTGTTGCATTTCTCCATATCTACCTGTTGCTTTATTAGTCGTCCAGATAGAATCAGACTGCATTTAGAGCCAGTATAGTTACCGAAGTAGGTGTGCATTTAAATGATCTGCAAAAAAAAAAAAAAAAATTGCTGCCGTACTTAACTGTTGATATTTATACAAACCAATCTCTTTAACAGAAATCTTCAGTAATACTACATGCTACTTGTAAGAGTGGTGTCAAACAGTGGAATCAGTATGTTACAGCAGTGTTCAGAAACAATTGTTTAGTAAACATTTTGAAAAAGTAAGTGTATGCAAATGAAAATTAAAGTATCAATGTCTTGTAACACTCCCTTGCTGCCCAGTGTAATCCTTTTAGACCTTTTGGAAAGTCAGCTTTATAACAATTTTAATGTGATTTGGTGCAAGACAAAAATACAGGTGTTAAGACAAGTGGAGAAAATACTGAAGTTTCTCCACTTAGTTTTAATTCATCACTGAAACAACTTTTTTTTCTTCCAAAGCTTTCATTAATTACAGTGATGATGTACTCCACAGATGATTTTTACAGTGATGAAAAGCATGGCTTAGTTTAGAATCAGTTCTAGTGGCTTAATATCTCCTACATTTCAGGTCTTCGTAGGAGGCTGGTGCAATAAGAACAAAGACCTTTTATACTAATGAATTCTACTTCAAAGACAGAGCAGATGACCATGGCTGATGGCTGGCTAGTAATCAGCTTAGCTCTACCTTACTGTGACATGGTTATGTCCTTAATTATTTCTGAACTTGGAATAGCTTTACTTCAACACAGCAACTGAAAGTCTAGATAAGATTTTCATTTAATCTCATGACCTTGCAAAAGATTTCATTTAAAATCACCTAGATGTAATTGGCTTGAACCTAGCAAAGGGATGAAATAGAAAATTTGAACAGAAAGCTGTTTGGGGAACACATGCAGCTGGCTTTACAGCTATTGTTATAGCTTCAGCATCTACTGGTATTTTAATTAAATGGAAAGAAAAGAGATTTTCCTCAGGGAAATATTTTGATTCCTAAAATAGCCATAATTCCAGAACATGTGCTGCTGTACTCTAAGACTTGATGTTCTGCTAGACATTACCTCAACAGAAGCAGATGTTGTGTTTCAAGTTATGTTTGCACAGCATTGCTTAATGTTAGGAACACTAAAGACCTTGATAGAATGAATCCCTAAAATAAAAATAACAAGTCATTAATTTTATTTCTTCCTTATTAAGAGTTTTTGTTTTTGTTTTTTTAATGCTTGAACAGTCCAAAGAAGCAGTGGGATAGTAAGATATCATTGGTACACGTTAAGAAAAACGGGATGAATTTGTCAAAATAACCCTATCAGTAATTTCTGGTAAAATTAAATAAAAACAGGCAATGCCACAGGTGGATCCCCTGTGTGCCAAAGCGTTGCTCAAGATATTCTATAAAGAAAGAAAGATTTCTGCCTAGAAGATGTTGTAATTTAAAAAACGGCAAAGCATTACAGCTGGAGCAGCAGTGACTTAGATAAAGAAGGTAAAATTTTAAACAATATCAATAGGTAATCTCACTAGAAATGTTTTTTGGTCTTTCTAAAGAACAGTGAAAAATCCCAGTCTCTCAAATATTTTAAATGTCTACTTGCATAATAAAAACAAGTAAGTCCCTTTCTAAGAAAGCAAACACACAATTCAATGGCTTTTCCGTTTTTCCCTGCTGCCTTCAGGCCTCATTGCCCAAATGTAATGCATTTGCCACATATTTCAATGAGTATTGCTAGTACTTCTGGGCAGATAGAACACTTTATATTCCTAGGCACGGGCTCGAGGATTATAATGGGATAATTTAAACTGACAAGGATCTCTGGAGGTCATTTGGCATAGTTTCTTGCTCAAAATCTCTCAGATTAGGTTGCTCAGGGCCAAATTTTGATATCTCCAGGGATGGAGATTCCATAGCCTCTCTGGGCAACCTGTTCTAGTGCTTAAGCATGTTCCTTGTGGAACATTTTCTTATACCTAGCCAAAATTCCTGTTGCTGCGACTTGTGTTTCCCTTTTGACGTACACCTCTGAAAAGACACTGATCCTGTCTTTTGTATAACCCCACTTCCTCACAGATAATGAAAGACAGCAATTAGATCACCTCTTCTCTACTCTGAGCACCCCCTTGTACATTGTGTGCTCCAGCCTCCAACCATCTTGGTGGCCTCTGCCAATTTGTATCAGCTTGTCTGCCTGTTTTGTACTGTGGGGACCCAAACTGGACAAACTGGCCTCCAGATGCAGTTTCACAAGCCCTTAACAGAGGGAAGTAACCTGCTGGCTAGTCTCTTCAAGGTGCAACTCAGCATGGGGCTAGTCTTCAGTGGCACAAGGATGATCCTGACTCACATTCAACTTTTTGTACACCAAGACAAGTCTAGGGGTTTTTTTACCTAACCCGTGACTTTAGGAGATACCCGGAGTGCTCCCAGCCAGCTCATAAGCCTAGTAATCGTGACACAGTGAGTTCTGTCAGCAAGTGTGGTTAAGGTGTTATATTCTAGAATGTTAATTTCCCCCAGAAATGTTCATGTATTGAAAGAGGAAAGAGAGTGTCATTTATAAGCCACTGTGCTGTCTCTTAAGTGCTGGCCAGTATTTAGCCCAGTGATTAGCCCACATGGGTCAACAAGATTTGTATGAGAACAGCTGAGGGTCAAAGGAGGAAGATTTGGACAGAAAACAGAACTGCTATCAAGACTAAATCCTGATTACTATTTTGTTCCTCTTATTGCACAGTTCATTGGCAGTCTTAACTTCCCTCACAGACTTCCCATTTCCTTTGTCTAACTGGACAGGAAATCCTGAAGAACATGGGCAGTCACCATTTGAAGGTGGTGAAGAGTATGGATCTGAAAAAGTTTAGGTACCTTTTCAAGAAGCTCTTTTGCCATAACAGACAAGAAAGTGTAATCTCACAATGAGATACAAGTCTGCTAAATGCTTGCAATCTGGTAGGATTCTTGAACTAGCTGGCAGCTAGTAGAAGTTTGTGTGGAATTTAAAAATAGCTGCCAACTATAGTTGGAGCACAGTAATTTTAGAATTCATAATAGAGAAGGTATTGCATTCTCTGTTACTTGCATGACTTTACTAGTTTTGAAACAGAAGTCAGGTTCTCCATGTTTTCAGACAGTGTATTTATTAATAAAGAGAAGGAATCATCTGACCTTGCTCGAGTTGGGTGACGCTGTTGATTTTGATTTTGATGAGAAGGTGCCCTGGATTGCACTGCATCCTCTGAATGAGGATACTGGAAAATGAATTTTTAATGCAATATCGAAGTGTCTGCTCTGTGTAGTACTGGTTTAAATGTACTGAGAGAAGACAGAGTACTTGAACATTGAGAGAATTAAAATGTAGGTGGATTTCTGTATCCAGGTTGTTTTTTTTTTTCATTTTTAGAGTACCCAAAAATGAGCCAGGCAGTTTCTATGCATATGTTAAGACAGCTTTAGTAGCTTAGTATTTAAAAATCTAGTGCTGATGCCCTCACATTGAGGCAGGGCTATGTTTAAGGCTAGCGACATTGACTTCAGTGTCATAACTGTGAATCCAACTCACAGTAGAAATTAAGAAATATGATGTTAATTCTGTCCTACTTTCAAATCTTCTTGAGGCATATTGCACCCTTATACTAAAAGATAGTCCAAATAAATGAAAATGCTGACACTGTTCGCATTGGAAGAGAAATAGATCATAGAAAAGTGACAGAAGGCAGTTCTTTCCTGTACTCTTACAGTTTCAAAATGAAAATAATGGTAAGTGTGATTTTTGAGCTCTCATTTTTAAATTAAAACCATCTAGAAAAACAGAAGGAGCAAAAATTTATATCTATTAATTCTAAAAAAATTATATGGTCAGTAAGTTTTGTCCATTAAGAGTATCCTTGCTTTTTTGCCAACCAATTAGCTTACCTATGAGTGTAAGAGCTGTGTTTTACTGCAGTTATAAATTTATTGTGTTAAGTCATAACAAACCAATGATATTTTCAAAGATTTTATTGAGATCAAAATTATTATTTTCAAAAACTATAAATCTTGTTCTCATTTTTTTTTTTTTAGTAGTGGTGCTAGTAGAAATTTTTAAACGTACTTATTTTTGAGGAGTACTGAAACAGAGGAGTGACATTTTTAGAATTTAAGGATAAAGCAGGAACTAAAGATTGCAAATTTTTGAGAGTAATTTACAAAATTTGAAACCACTTACTCCCTAGAAAGGATTTACAATTTGGTTTTTCTTTGTGACCAATTCTTGAATCAAACAGAATGGTCTATTAATACCATAATTGTATGTTAGTAGTGTAGAATAAGGTTTTTCTCTAAGGTTGCAGAATTTAGCTTTCTGAGCCTGATCTGAAATGAGGATAAAATTTCCTTTAGTTTTAGAGGACAAAGGAGGAAACCAAAATAATGTTTTCAAATAAAGATATTGCAATCCATTGAGAAAATAACCCTGATGCTTACAGTTGATATAGAGATTGGTTAACCCTAAGCTTAATCTTGGTTATTTTTCCTTTAAGGGTCACAATTTAAAATTCATAAGTTACTTGTCATGCAAATCAACAGAAAAGGTATTGGTTTGGTTTTTTTAAAATCATTATCGTCATGATTGTTGAGCAAAAATGAGAAGTATAAGCTGAAAGAGGGTAGATTTAGACTAGACATTAGGAAGAAATTTTTCACTGTGAGGGTGGTGAGACACTGGAACGGGTTGCCCAGGGAAGTTGTGGATGCCCCCTCGCTGGAGGTGTTCAAGGCCAGGCTGGATAAAGCTTTGAGCAACCTGGTCTAGTGGAGGGTGTCCCTGCCCATGGCAGGGGGGTTGGAACTTGGTGATCTTTAAGGTCCTTTCCAACCCAAACCATTCTATGATTCTATGATTCTAACAACCATTCTACTTTTCCATTTTAGCTCTCGGGTGACAGGAATTCAGAAAATGATGGAATATGTTAAAAAAAAAGTAGATCAATTAATTAGGCAGTGTCCAGATGATAAAGAATTTACTTTGAAGAAACTACAATGGACGGCCTCACTTGAAGATCATCTAAATAAGGTATGTCTTCTTCTTAATGTATTAATAAACGGTGCATTGTATTTCCATAAATTAGTTATGCGAATATTAAAGTTGACTCAAATAATTACAAATAACATTGATTTGTTAGAGACCACACAGTTAGAATGCTGAATACTTTTATCAGCACAAATGAACCTAAAGCTGTTCTGAAAAATGCACCTGTTTCCATGAGAACATTTTACCAGAAATCTTCAATGAAGTATGGATTTGCTTAGATAATGAGCTATTATAATTTGTTCTTCTGGAAAAGAAGTGAGCAGTCAGGACTGTGACCTTCATGCAGGTTTCTATTACTGTTTCTGTGTCTTTTGTTTCATTTGACTGAAGATAAAAATAGAAGTGTGGCAAAATGGAGGGTTAATAATCATGGTCACTGTGAACCACAGCAAATTTTCAGTAACGCTAAAGGGGAGTAGATTCTATTCACTATAAAAATTCCCTTTGTTCATTTAGATACTGATGCATCAAGATCATCATGGCCTTATTTAAGGTGTTGAATGTTCTGTAGTGCTGCAGACCTTTTTAATGAGCTGTCAGAGATGAAATAGACGCATAGCAACTAAATAAGGTGTAAATTCAGATTAAAAACCATAACCTTTTAACAAGATTCGTATGAAGGAAATCCCAGAGCATAGACCAGAAAAGTAAATAAAATTTAATAACTGAATAATTAAGTCTGCAATGTGATATTTTACAATATTTGCATGATGTTTATAATGAACTATTCTGAATCAAACGGGAAGTAAATTTGCCATAAATTGGTCCCTCTGAATACAATTTATGTAGAAGAGGCCTCATGATATTATTACACAGTGAAAATATCATTGACTTTAGCTGAAAAGAAAAGATTTGCTGATAGCTGCTGTTGGTCTTGTAGAAATGATATCATCAGCATATTGTGAATCTTAAGCTAAATCTTCAACTACAGAGGTAATTTTTACTAAAAATGTAGACCCCAATTTTGATATACAGTTTCATTCTGCAGTTTGTTCTAATCACTTTGTTCCCAATCTTGCATTAGAGAATATTTTGAAGATTTGAGTCATAAAACATGATCTTCCATTACACTGAACAGTGCTTATTGTTATATTCCTACCAAGCAAAACACTTTTCATTCCAACCTTCTGATAATTCAAAGTATCCCAAAGAATCTGGTGCTAAATTTGACTGCCCTGGGCTTCCTTTAATAAAGTTTGAACCTCGATCAGCAGCCACTTCTTAGAATGCATGGTAACATGTCTAATAACAACTATGCATGCTATGTCTGGTATCATCTGCTTCTTTTCTTTGTAATCTGTTTTGTTATAATCATGCATATGCAACATCTTGCAGTGACAATGAGATGGAGTTGTGTACGTGTATCTGCACATGTCTCTACTTGGCAGAGAAGCTTTAAATGTACTTTCTGAAAAAACCCAGAGCATAATAAAAGTGTTTCTGGTAAGGTTAAAATATCTAGATTATAATGCAGTTATGCCTTACTGAAGTAAGAGGCCTGGGATACCTAGGATAAAGGAAAAGACTCTCAACAAAATGAGAGCAAACAGGAGTTGTTTTCTCAAATTCTGACCATAGCTGTTAGAATTTTCTTAGGAGAAATAGTAGAATTTTCTTTGTCTATATTTTCATTACTGAATTTCTCTGATTATACAAAGTGCATAATCTAAACACCAATAGACAAGTGTTACTTCACTTTTTGCTATACAAAGTGATGTTTTATACTATTTTTATACTGCCTACTCATATAAATTAACGATATAAATAATGCTTTCAAATAAAGGTGTCGGAGTCAATTAAGAAAATCACCCCAATGGTTGCAGTTGGTATGGAGATTGGTTTGTGTTTGCCTGAGTTGGAAAGAGTTTTGGATAAACACCTTGAACTGGCTAAACAAACAAAGGTAAAAAAAAATAAACTTTAATAATGTTGAGTACTTCTAGAAACAAATGCATGTAGTGTATGTAGTTCTAAATACAGTGAGAGGTTGAGAGTTTCTTATGTATTACTGGGAAGAAAATAGGTCAATTAATTTAAAACTGTAGTTAATGAAAAAAAACACAGAAAACATTACAAGTCAGTCCTTCTTCTGTCTTTCGTTATCCCCATTGTCTTTATCTCATCGTGTTATTTGTTACTACCTCAAGAGCCTAGTATCAACCCTTGATAGGAGGACTCTTCAAATGTGGATTTCTACTCCTACTTGAGGCACCAAGTTTAAAAATTGTCTAGTCAAAGTCACAGAAAACTCTTCTTGTGGTTTATTATGCCAAATAAAAGGGATGAATCAGCAAAAAAGAAAAAAAAAGTTGTTCCCCAGTGCAGGAACTTTGGAAGGGGATGTAAAGTTGCCATCAGATATCCATGGGTCATGTTGGGAATGCAGCCACGATGTGAAAGCATTGCAGCACTCTGCCCTGTAACTGTCTTTTCTGACAAAAAGGAAGCAACTGATTCAAGAATGAAGGGATGAGTGTAACTAAGATTACTAAGGCAAAGTGATACATGGACAGGACTTAAAACAATTACAGCAGTAGTTTTGTGGGGACCTAGTGCTTCTGGAGTCTCACATTAGAGTGGACACTGAGTATCAGGCAACCAGCTGAGAGGTATTTAGACTCAAGGTAATGAGTTCAGAAATTTGAGCTATCCTGTTTGTTAGAAGAATTGTATCAGTTCTGGTGTTCTTGTATGGAACTTCTCTTGTTTCCATTCTTACACTGTGAAGTGGTTTACTTAATCTGAATACTGAAATTACCTTTTTTCCCCCCTTCAAAATAGCTATTTTAATAACTACATCCACAGTTTTTAGTGTCAAAATGTTACAGGAAATAAATGGTTTTCAGTGTATAATGTCTTATTATGACCTAAGCTTCAAATAAGTATGTGCTTTGACTAAGTAATTGAATTATACATAAGAAAACAATACTAGTGAAAATTAACAATGTGATATCAATATTCACAAGTCCTTTTCAGTCATGGTATGTATTGTTCTGTGCTTGTACCCTCAAAGGAAACTTCACATGAACTGGAAGCAGCTGAGAGAATCATCAAAGATATGGAAGAGTTTGAACCTGAGCAGGTGGCAGCTTTTTCTGTCAGAACTGACTTTCTGAATAAAGAACTGAAAAAAATGGAAAAAAAGCTTAGTTCAAAGCTAGAAGTTCTAGAAAGTTATGTGGCCTTTTTAAAATCATCTGTGGAGGTACAGATTGCTTATTTATTCTCTGACTAAACTGTGAAAATCTTATAAGTGAAAAATGTGCTTTTAGCTAGCTAAGACAAATCCTGTAGGTGCTGTGCCATGAAAGCACTGCAAATCTTTGTAAACTGCTTTCTACTTTAAAGGAGATCTGTTCCATCATGCAAGCAGCCCTGATCAACATAATGACTAGTCTATGTACAGATTTTCTACTGATTTAAGTCACCACCTTAGGAAGTATTATAAATGAATTTTTACTTTTTCTCCTGTGCACATGTGCTCTTTCATTAGATAATAAAAATACTTATCTATATGTACTCTGGTTCTTAAATTTATTAATAATTTTAAAAATGCTTCACGTATGATGTTTCTACATTTATCATATTATAGTGTGTTGGTACAGTGTTTATCACTGTCTTGCACTACTTCCACTGTATAAACCAGCTCTATCTGAAATCATAATCCATTCAATACCAGTGTAATTTTGGTAGCTGTTCTAATGATGCCCAGGGCAGTTAATTTAAATTTTGGTGTAATGCCTTTTTTAAGATTCTACAACACTGTTCTTTTATATTTAGAAAGAAATTGAGGATGGAATGGAACCTATCAGATAAAATTAGCTATAGGATTTATTTATTTGAAGATAAACTGCCAACATTTTGGATTGCATCTACTTCCCATTTTTGCTAACGTCAGTTACTTCATATTAAACAGAACTGTGAAAGCCATTGCATTGATACAATGCTATATAATATCTGTAATGATATGTGACAGAAATTGAACAAATTGCTGCCACCTGTCTGCTTGCCATCTACTGTTTTACAAGTTATTTAACACTTTTTTATTAATTAGTATTTGTATAGATTTTAGGAAGGGTGGTGGATTTTAAAACCTGGAAAAGATTCAGAGGCTGCTATTCATTTTTATCATGTCCGTATACCTTCTGATTATAGCAGCTCAATATTTTTATTTGGTTTTGGTGCTTTTTTAATGTCTTTCTGTAGGTGAATGATGATATTAAAAATCTGAAGGAATTCTATAAATCAGATCCACTACAAACAAACAAGGAAGCAGAAAAAAGAATTTCAATGGAATCAGCTAATAGTCAGTGGCAACAGGCCATAAAGAAGATTTTTTCCACCCAAAATATGGGTTGTAATTTTCTTAATGTAGTAAATATGGTGAGTATAATCTAATAAACCATACTGAATATTTGATTTTTGCCTGTGATGAGGTCTAATCTTAGTTCTGTGACTGATGGACTGTGATTTCTGCAGTACCTAGTTTTAAAGGGACTAATGCTGCTGTATACTTTAAAAATATGTATTATTTGAGTGTTAATGGCATTATAAGTAATATAAAAAGTTTTGTGATTAACAATGGCAGAGCCCTTAATAAATGATCCGTACATGCATACAAATGTAATACATGCACATACCTGTTTTGTTCGTGTTGGAAAGCAGCATATATGCAAGTACAGTATTAACTTTATTTTAGTTCCACTAAGAGGCAGTCTTTACTAATTGAGTGTATGAAGTTCTTCTAAAGAAATGGGTGCTAGAGCTACTTCCTTACAGGTAATCTTCCCTGGTATCTTTACATTCTGTTTTGGGTTCAGCTGCACTGCCTAGGCATCCCTATCTAATTTTCCAGCACCCTTTCTTCATGAGATGGTCATTTGAGATGTGCAGTCATTCCCTAAGCCACTCCTCCTAAAGTGATGCCAACTAAAGTACACAGCCTGGATATCCAGCTGTTCTTTCTGGCTTTATAGAACAGAATAAGGAGCAGTTACATTAGGGTCAGAAGGGGGAGTTGGTGTTGATAACATACAGCAGCATGCAAAATGAGCAGGAAAAAAGAGGGAAAGTGCTCAGGCAGTTAGTGTGTGCTAAAGTGCATGCTGTCACTGCTGGATGCAGCTGGGCAGAGATGTAGTCAGTGTAAAAGCAAGCTGAATATGTGTGAATATGAGGTTGGACTGCAGTCACCTGAAGTCTAAACATATCTTCAGATATTACCTCTGTAAAGACCTGGAAGTGTGTTGCCACAATATTTTCTGCTACTCTGTTTCTATTATATTCGTAGGTTGTAGGTTTTAAGTGCCTGGAAGATAGGGATAATACAAGTAATTTATGAACTTTTCTTAAAAGAAAAATTCTGAAATGGGAAACAGCATTACCCAGTTTTCTGGTGTTTCTGATATGGGCTTTTTTAAAAAAAGGAAAACCACCAAATGTTCACTTTATTCCTCCCATGCTTCAGTGCTGCTTTGGTTATTGGCTCAAAAGAGCTGTCTTCTCTTCATCCAGTTCTTCACTTTCCAGTTGCTGTTCCCTAAAAGGCCACCTTGTGTAGTTCTGTCTATTCAGAAATTACTTTATTTTGAGTGAGTGTTAAACAGGTGTCACATGGCAATATTTCAGTCGTTACTGACCTGTTCTAGGTTTTAAACTTTAACATTCACCATGTCCTCAGTACAAAAATTCTGTTGATCCATGCCTATTTCTGAGAGAACGGTGTATTTAAAGACACCCAGAGTACCAGAAATTTTCAAAGAAGTTATGCTAGTCTTTTTTATTAAGCTTTGTTGAGACTTTAATATTATGAAGTATTGTATTTTATAAAATATAAATGAGGTATTTTATAAAAACATATATGGAAAAACATGTATCTGTTTATTTTCCAGGTAAATGAGAGTTTAATATTAAAAGCAGAAAAATCTATTCGAGTAACAGAAGAGATAATTGTTAATCTGAGTAAAGAAAAGAAAGAGCTGACTGATCTTTGGGCAATCTGGAATTTTAAAATTACTCAAGTAAAACCCGTCAAACAACAGTGCCAGATATTTAAAGAACAACTAAAAATTGTAAGTAAAATAGCTAGGAAGAAAGCTACTGTGGCAAACATTTCCAGACTGGTATTAATTTTTCAGTGACTCTCTCATCAGCTATTATAGGTATCATTTAAGAAAGAGAGATATCAGTAGGATACTTCTGCATAGTCTGTTCTGCCGTTCAGATAGTCATCAAGAAACATGAAATGTTTTTGATATTTTTTTGCCCTTATTCAAACATATACAAGTGCAAGTCTCCACTTCAAATTTTAAGTTTTAATCAAGTCCGTGTACTATACCACCAGTGCTGTAGGTTTTTTTTGTTCTTTTTTTTTTTTTTTAAAGCACCATTTAGTTTTGACTTAATAGTTACTAAATTAAACTGTGTCCTAATAGTTAACTAAACTCAAGTCCAACCATGTTCACAAGGAAAGAGGATTGAAACCTTCTTGGCATAGGAACAGTGTTCAGTGTTCCTTAAAAGCAGCGCTAGGTAGGCTAGTAGCAGAACCAGAGTTTTGTGGCCACTGTTTGTCTAGTGCAGTTTATCCCTAAACCATGACATCTCTTGTCACAGAAAATACACTGTGTGTATGGATCCTCCAGTCTTAGTGTCTGAATTGTTTTTGCACACTGTCTTTAAGATTTACTATGACCCTTGTCAGTCAGAGAGTTTGAGACAGAGTGGTTTATAGTTTAAAAAAAAAAAATTAGTAATCTTAACTTGAGAATCTTTTTTTTAAAAAACTAGTAATTTCTTAATGAAATTTACTGACAGCATTTGAGTGTGTGCTTTGGGGAAGGGTTTTTTTTACAAATTTGGATTTGAGTTTAATTATTTTTTTTTTATTTACTACAGATAGAAACACTGAACTGTTTGATTATCTTTTAGACTACCCATGGATTAGAGATTCTTCAAGAAGCACTCCAGCTTGCAGCAACAGTTGACCTTGGAAGTGACCTTTTCATTGTTTTGGAACTACAAAAAAAGCTTAACCAAATGAAACCACAGTATCAGGTGAGAAACCAAGCTAGTGAAGTACATGGTGGATCAAAAGCTCTTTTTGGTACTATGAAGACGCACATTCACATTGACCCCAGACAGAGTGTCTGGGCTCGCAAGATTTTGTGTTTTACATTACTTTTCCAGAAGGAAGGAGTTGTGTGTGTTATAAGGTAAGGGAGACACCTTCAGTGTCCAGAGAATGTCTTGTGCACTGTTAACTCCGTGTTAAAGTGACACACAAGCATTGGGGAAGCACAAGGAGAGCTTTGGCTTCATGCTTTTGAGTTAGAGCTGGTCAGAGGCTGAAGTATGTCATGCTGAGGTTCCTAACTCCTATGAATGTCTCTTGAGTTTTTGCAATTCAGTCTGCCATTCCCCTGCAAGTCAGTTTGACTTGTTTTGATCCAAGGCTGTTTCTGGGTGATAGTTGAGATTCATGCCTAGCAAAAAGCAAAGTATGTGAAGAGTGTTTAAAAGTGCATAGCATTTTTTTTCCCAAGGCAATTTACCATTGTTAGGTTGTTATTTCATCAAACGTACATGAAAACTTGCAAATTTATTTGCATAATTCAGTAACTTCTGCTTTTTTGCTAGCAACTGAATGCTGAGCTTGAGTACCTAATAAAATTATTAGAATTGCCAAGCCAGAAAGGATTTCCTGTGAAAGAGAATTCTGAGAGAATACGTGAGCTTATTCATCTCCGTCAAATAGTAAAGGACACAATGACAGAATATGATGAAATTTTCAACAAGACAGTCAAATTCCATCATATTAAAAAAGAAGTGAGTATAATGTCTTAAAATGTACCTTTCTGTTGCAGTTAAAGTTTTTGGTTTTGGTGCCTGTCATCTTTTTTTTTTTTTTTTTTTTTTTTTTTTTTTTCCCACCAAACAAACAGCCTTAACCCACCTGGCAATCTGAATTAAAATTTTGAATGTAAAACTGCACGAAATTTGGAGAACTCAAAATTCAGATCTGAACCCAAATTTAGTTACTTAAACCCACGTCAACAAAATTTAAAGTAACATCTTATGGGTAAGGAAGAAACTGTAAGCTTCCTTTTACATTATTTTGGACATACACTGATTTTCCTTTTAATATATTCCAGCTGGAATGTCTGTCAAAATCAGGAGAACATGATATTCCTGAAATATGTGAGGACCCTGAAAATGTGCACCATGCTAAAGCCTACCTTGTGAATGCTCAGGAGAAACATGCACATATCAGTCAGCTATATAAACTGCTTATTACCCAGGGAGTGGATATGTTGTCTGCAGTGCAGCAACCTGTGAGTAGACTTAGAATGGTTTGTGAATTCAAGGATAGATATGAAAGAAGATTATTGGAGCTATCTGACATTTAGATGTACAAAAAATGTATTAATACTCTGAGAAAAATAAATACAGAGCTTTAAGAACCTTATTTAAAGAAAGTAAAACAAAATGTAAAATAGTTGATTATTTATAGATTGCTACTTTTAGAGTTTGCAGATATACAGCCATCAAATTAAATAGAACATACAGTAATGATGAAACTGATTCTTCAGTAGTTATATTACAAATTGCTTTTGCCAAGAGAAAAGAAAAAATAATTTATTTGAAATATTATTTTAATTTTTTAAGTATTTTTTTCTTATTTTAATGGTCTTTTTTCTTATTTTCATAGAATCATAGAATGGTTTGGGTTGGAATGGACCTTAAAGATCATCAAGTTCCAACCCCCCTGCCATGGGCAGGGACACACTCCACTAGACCAGGTTGCTTATGGTCTTTTACTCTTGAAAACATTGAAATAGATTTGAAATAGGGAGGCAGTTAGTCTTAAAATATCAGTGCTTGGGGAGAAAAAAAAGGCACGACTCTCTGTTCTCTAGTATTCTTTGTGCAGTTCAAAGTCCTGTTGGTGATTTCTTGAATGATGTGTCTATGTATTAGACTCTTGCTATTTTGTAAAGGTTGCTTTGCATACTTATTCTCCTATAAAGAAAGGATAACAAAAGAGCAAAAAAGAAACATAATAACAGTGTTACCTTATTAGTGGATTTCAGACTGATTTGCATGACAAAATGGATATCATTTTAGAAAGGAGTAATTTATTCAAGGCAGGAATGTCATTGCCATGTATGCATTTACTAGGGAGAAAGCAAGACATTGCCTTATGACCTGCCTAGGTTATCCACATTGCCAGTCTGCTCTTCAGTCTCCATAAATTGATTGACAGCAGAAAGGAGCTAATCTCCAAGTGGTAAAGGACTAGAGTAGCCTGCTTCCTCTTTGCTTAGAGGAGACACCATGTGTGAGTTGTGACTTTAACCCGAAACTACTCTTCAGACTACTAGTGAGTGAAATTGCTATGTACTTGCTCTCGCTACAGTGGAGGTTTACTCTAGCCCATTGTGACTGACTATAAATGTTCTGCCTCAAAATTATTTTCCTTTGAGATTGGTTAAATCAATACATTTCCTGAATTTCATAAATTTCTTTGTCTATTCCCTGTTAAGAATTGCTTGAATGTTTCTGTAAAGAATCTGAAGCAAGAACTTGCTAGATTTGAGTGTGATAGCATTAACTGGAGCTCCAAAGCTAATAAGTATGAAGAAGAACTGTCACAGCATTTCCAGCACTGCACCACTCAAGAGGAGATAAATGAGGTAAATGAGATAAATACCAACACATGAAATGACTGTTAAAAGGGATGTTGTGTTCTGTAATATATGTTACTGTTTACTGTTCCCCTAGATGTTTCATACATATACAGAAAAGCTGATTTTCATTTTAAAAGCAACTTTTGATCCATGCAGCAGCAATAATAATTTGTGGTCCATACCTCTGCAGTTCAGGATTATATCAAGTTGTTGGGCTGGCAAGAAAGTGCTTTAGCTGTACCAAGAGGACTGGAAATAGAGCAACTATATTTTCTATGGCTTTCAGCTCTGTCAGCTTCATCTGAAATACATGAGTCTTCATATTTCTTTCTTATGAAACAAAGGTTCAAAAAAAAAGTAGAATTTACCTATATTGAAGTTGTAAGCCTATTAGAAAGACTTTTTAGTCTTTTAATTAGAAGTTCAGAATAATTTAGTACTTAACATTTTTTCAGAAATTCAAGATGTGATACCTAAAAAATTGCCAGAAGAAAAGGAAATATTCTTTGTCACAAGATTATTACAATTAGAATTTATTATTATGGAACTTAGGTCAGGAAAAATTACTTAGTTAAAATGATTATTAATTTTGCATCTTAGTAGGCCAAATATAAATCTGCTCACAACTTAGCAGGTTGAATTGGATAGATGTCACAACAAAAATTAACTTAGGAAAAACATTCCATAAAATAAATTTTCTCAGTGTGATCCATTAAAAGAGCAGGCTGATGGCCTCTGCCCTTGGAGTTATATAGATTGCACTTCTGTGCATTCATGAAGTACCGAAACCAGATTCTTACCTGGAAGGATTTCACACTAATGTTCCCTGGAATGTGAAGCATAGGTAGTGGCAACACAGGACACTGAAAGCTGTTTTTTCCTTCTTTTATCTTTTCTTAAGTAAATCCACACCTGAATTAAGCCAGACTGTATTTTCTCAAAATCACCAAAGTTAAGTTGACTGAGATTTCTGTCCCAAATATTTTTAATGAGAAAATTATTGTTTGTATTTTCTTTTCTTTTACAAAATATTTTTGCATGTTTGTGAAAAGTATCTATTTTCACAAGAAGGTATTATGAAATTGAAAGAATACATGCATCAAAAAAAGTTGTTTTTTTTCATCTCAGTTACAGTTCTAGTCCCTTGTCAGTTATAAGCTGAGTGTGCTTCACTCTCTGATCTTCGATGCAACAGTCTCCTTTGATGTAACTTCTTGGCTGATAGTAGGGGGCAATAGGAACAGCAAGTAGTATAAGAGAAGAACTTTGACAGAAGGAACCATGCTGTAGAAGAGAATGAGAACATGAAGTACCTAAACTAGAAGTCCTGTATGCTTTTCAGTGGCACAACAGAACCAGAATATATGAGTTTTGAACTAAAGTATTCTAGGTTTTTACTGAAAACCCCTCAAATTTGCTGAAAAAAATGTTCACTGAGCAGCCTGTATGTAAGGCTGGCCATATTAAAAACACAGTATTGTATTGAGTGCATCTCTTGTTTCTGTCCTTTGATTCTGGGATTATATAATGAGGGCACAAAAGCATGACCCCTTTCTAAGAAAAAATGTTTTTCTATTTTTATTACTTGTTAGACTGCCAGTGAAAGCAGGAAGTAGAACAAAAAAGCGATCTTATGTCTCTCTCAAATTTAAATGAAAAGTGTGTCAGTGGCACGTCTAACTCAGCACGTGCCCTATATTGCAAAACATAACATTTTAGCTTCTCATAGTTAATGGACACCCTCTGCAAAATAATTGCATATCATATTTTCAATTACAGTGTTAATTATTGGGTTTTTTTTTCATTCTAATTTGGGAAAGCCGGGCGGGCTGGTTAAGTTAAAACCTGTCATCCCCAAACCTAATTGAATCCTGAATGTAAACTCACTGAAATGTGGATACTTTTTTCTTTAGACTCCTTCTCTATTAGAGGTGAGCATAGAAAATATTTGGCTAATGTACCTCTATATGCATTAATCCACTACCATTTTTTTTTTTAGGTATTTATAATTAGTTCTGTTTAGGGATCAAGAAACCAGACACTGAACTACTTCAAGAATGTTAAAGTTATGAGTATTCACTTCAGTATTTTAAATTCTGTTAATTCTAACGTCAGAAATTAGTCAGAGTATTGCTAGTATCTAGCTGACCTATCTGAAATAACAATTTCTTTATCATCCACTATGTCTAAGCAAATAAATATTTCATATGCCAGCAGAAAGCAGCAGCTGTTCATAGCTGTCACATAGTAAACAGACAACCAGATAATTTGGTTGTGATTTACCAGCGTACAAAGCAAACTTTAAAGTTGACTGAAAATATTTGGAATTCTGCTTTAAATACTTAAATTAATTTACGTTTAATGCGGTGAATTTAAGTCTGTAAATAAAGCACGTGAGTGAGGGCTTTGGTGATTAGGACTCACTGGTGTTTGAAAATATACTTTGAGGACTCGGCTAGCTCCCTGTAACATACTTAAAGCTTCTAAAAGAAGCAAGGAAACAAATACTTAAATTTACAGTCAAGGATACATAGCATGAGTTTTGAAACAGTCTTTGGAGGACAGAAGAGTAAGATGCATGCCTTTTGTGTGCCTTCTCTAATTTAAAGAGAATCTGCAAAGGCCAAAAAAAGGTTTTATTCCCTCTGCATCTTTGAAAGGTGTAAGGAAAGCTCGTCTGTCTTTTGAGATCTGTATTTGCCAGTTTGGGCTTCCTGCTTCACTGACTAGCTTGGGTAGCAGCCTCTGAAAAGCTGCAACTCCACTTCATTAACACTGCAATAATTTGCGATAGAACTGAGTCAAACCTCAGGTCACTGTAGCTTAATACTATACTGAATGTGTTCATGGGATTACAAGTGACACAGTTGTTTACATAAGATAACATTTGCAATGAAAAAGCCTTTTATTTAGGTGATCATTGTAAAAATAGCATTTATGCATGTCTGCACAAAACTTGCAACAGAAGAGTAGCAGGTACTGAAGTAGGCTTTCAGCTCTTCCCAGTCAATCTCACTTCTTTTCTCTTCCTCATATCATTATTTATACACTTGCAGAAAGGTATGACTGAAAATGTGGATTCTAACCATAGAGGACAATGAACTATCTCTGTTCACAAGTTAATAGGAACGAATACTTCTTAGCACATTTCTCACCTTGTAATTTATTTTGATTGTGATCCCAGAATTAAAGTAATCATTAATGAATTGAACAGCACCTTTTCTTTCCTTCCACTTTGTGGCTGGCTGTTCTTCAATCTTTGCCACTTTGAAAATATATTTTCAGCAACCCTCTTCCGCATGCTGTTTTGATTATTAGTGCTACTGAAAGTTTTATGTATGAATAAAAATGGAAGGCTAACAACACTGAAGTACCTCCAAGAGTGGCTCACACAGGAATCAAAGCATTTAACTGGAACTGTACTGTTAAGAAAAACATGTTTAAAGCAGCTTTGTAACTCGATTTTTCCATTTATTTTGGAGTTGTGTGGTAAAGCAATTTGTACTTAAACCCCTCTCCTCCCCTATCGTTTGCCACCCATGACAGTCCAACTATAGTTAGGAACAGCTGTCTGATTAATTGCTATGACACAATTAACCAGTTACAAAGTTCTATTAAACTTGTGGGCTCAAGTCAATGGGGTATTGGGGTATATCCTTCTTTTAGTATTTTTAATTTAATTTTTCAGAAAATAGTGGAGAACTGAGATACGTTTAGATTTCTAAAAAATAGCAGCCTTTTATCATCCTTGGTACAATTGCTGATGGTAACAGGAGTTGTGTACATGCACTCTGAGGGAGTGCTGTACAAGTCTGAGCTGAGTCTGTTTTTCCACTGAGGCTAAAAGAGAAGAGTGACAGCAGCTGCAGACCTCTGAGACATGAGCCATCATATCTGAACCAAGGCTATCTAATTTCACATACTGCTATGAAGAGAGCCTCTGGCCTTATAAATGATCGCTAGCCTATGTACGTGCACAAGCCAGTGAAATAAACTAAAATCAACTCTTATTCATCTCTTCTTTTCCTCAAAATTAAACCGGCAAATAAGACTCTTGTTTTCTGAATGCAAAATATTGTTCTGCAGAGGTGGTTTTATTCGTGCTTTTAGACAGATTTTATTATTCTGTGTACTTAGGTGGGATAAAGAGCTTAAACTAATTGGAGATCACAGTGCCGGTGATAGTATTCCCTTCCTTTCCATTACACTGAGTGAACACCATCTGTCTATTAACTGCTAAAATAATGTGGAAACATCCAGCTAGATGAAATTAAAAAGAAAAATGTATCCCATGATGGATTAACATTAGTGTGTGATAACAATAATAATGATGGATTGCTAGCTGTTTGAATAACAGTAGCTGCAAAATGAGCATTCATTACTCCCTGGATTCTTTGGCAGGGAGGGGACAGAGGGAAGTCTGTAGGACTTTTTAATATAAAAAAGCCTCAAATATGTTAACTAAATACCAGATTGTGGATATGACCTAAACTTGTTAACACTAATCAGGTAAATCATATTGTTTTCATTTGTGTGTCTGGAAGAACAGACCCTAAAGCATTAGAACTGCTGCATTTCTTTTATATCGGTTCCTTTAGATAGATATCATTTTACATAGTTTATTCAAGGTTCTCTTTAAAAGGTTGTCAACCCAAAGGATGTGAAATTCTCAAAAAAATATTCCAGTCATTTTTATATCCTTCCATTTCAAATGTTATTAATTAATTATAACTAATTTGAAAATGGAATCATGGAATTGCAATGTAATTGAAATAGTACCTTTTATAAGGTACTGGAAGAATATTTTAAGCAGGTTTTTCAATTGTCTGGTTCTGTTATCTATTTCTTAAAGGCATTTGAAAGTTGCTGTAATATCTAAAAGATTTTTTGCAGCTGTAAATAAAATTGCAAGTTACATAGCTTTCAGAGAAAAAAAAATTTATTCTTAAAACATTCATAGTCCTTTAAAGATAATTTAGCTGAATGTGTTTGATATGCTTATTTATACAACATTGCTAATGCAAAAAACTGCATATGGCTTATTGAGGGCAAACTTGTAAGAGGACATTAAAGCAAACAGGTAATTGGCATTGGAAAAAAAAAAAAGATAAAGAAAGAATATAACAACTCTGTATTGTAGCTAGTTCCCATGTTAAATAAACACTTTTTTAAAATTTCGTTGATTGTATATAACTCTTATTTTTGATGTGTGTTAAAGTCTTTGGGGTAAATTGAGAACGCATCTGATCCATGTGTGTGTAAATGAAAGTGTAACTTCCTAGAGCTTCTTCAGTATAATTCCTATCATTCTGGATTTTTAAAATATTTCATAGATTAAAGAAAATGTAGCTACATTTTTTTTTTACAGCAAATTTACTACAACTAAATTTAATAGTAGTTATCTCAGCTGATATAAGTCCATCTGAAAAGTCTTGAAAGGCATGGATGCCTCATAATTAGAGCTACTAGTTCATTTTAATTTATTATTAAAAAAAAAATAATTCCCTGAATTTGAGCTTGCTGCACCAAGTCAGTGCTAACTGGTAATAATACTCTCATGTGATACCAAATCTATCTAGCTGTAGTTAGACAAGGCTTTCTTTGGGTATCTGTTAGGCAGAGTCTCATTGCTATCATGCTCATAGAATAGTTATTTGAAAGGCAGGTGCTCATATAGTCTACATCTTGATCCTGCAAAGAGCTGGATTCAGCTTTGCATGTCGTGAATAATTGTACTAGCACAATGTATAAAATTAAGCCCCTGTGTAACTTCCTTTGAGAAGCAAGGCTTCTGAAAAAGCAGGGTGGGGGGACACCAACAAAAAAACCCAACCTGACATAAACTAAATGTTGTATTGTAGGAGAAAACTACCATGAATGAATAAAAGTTTACTTACCCATGCCCAGTAAAACCATGTTTTTCTGGAAACTAAGCATAGGTATACGTTTACATAGCTACCATTTCCACTAGATGGACTAAAGTAGGTGAAGGACATCTGACTCTAGTTAAAAATCAGTGAAAGCTCCCTGTTAGGATTTTTTCATAGATTGTCTGAGCAAGTATCTCATCCTTTGCCCCAATCCTTGTTTTGCCCCAGCCATTCTGGAAACAATATTGAGCATTCAGAATGCAAAACAGTTGATTTTGCAAGATTATGAAAGAAGAAAGATTAGAAAAAGTCAGGAAGAAATAAGGATGCTTTATGAGATGGCATAGTATTATTAATTTCTGTATTAAATTTTCAGTGTTCACATCATGGTCTGTTAAACAGCTCTTGAAAAGCCTAAATTGAAGCATGCTGATTTATTTTTTACTAACAAATATATTTACTCTGTTTCAGCTGAGAGAGTCATTTAAGGATCTCAAAAAGAAATTCAACAATTTGAAGTTTAACTATGTGAAGAAAACGGAAAAAGCTAGAAATTTGAAAGTACTTAAAATACAGATTCAGCAAGTTGATACGTGTGTAGAGAAAATACAGGTAATGTCAGAAATGTTAGTCTTAGTGAAGGCTTCACTGATTGAATTGCTGTGGCCTGTGCCAAGCAGATCAGAGGAGGTGCAAAATGTATTGTGAGCTTCCGTGTTACTCAGTCACTGAGACATTTTTCACTGTTCTGTTCCCTTTATTCTTCCATTTCCTTCACTGCAATGATCTTACCTCAATTCCTGACTTCTCTCTGTTCACTCCTTTTATCCTCCATTATTTTTCTGTTTAATCTTTTGTTCTTCTTGCCTCTATTCCTTCACAATATGTGATCTAGTCTTCCCTCTCCTTAAAAAAACAAAATAAAACAAAGACCCCATCGAAATCAACAAATCACCAGTAAATGCACACATATTCCCTCTTGCATCCAGCTACTTTATTGTCTTTCTCTTTTCATCGTGTAAGTGTTCAGAACCTTTTAATGCATCCATTGCTTGGAGTTGATCATGCTCATTTGTATCTTAGAAGTCTGCTGGCCTCATCTGTTCTTTGTATTCACCAGAAACTCTTCCAAAGCCTCCAGCGAGGCTAGTTGCCAGTCAGAACTAGTGCTTTTTATTTCTCTTGCCCTGCCAGTCTCTTCGTTAAAACTTTTTTACTTTAAATTTTCAGTAGCTTCTATGATTCTATTTTTGCTATTTATTTTTGTTGCTATTGACTATTCCTTTTACAACCTTTTTTTTTCCCTTTCTTGGCAATTTCATGCACAAATGCAAATTCAAATAACAGAATCATTGAGATTGAAAGGAACCTCTGGAGATCATCTAGTTGAAATTCCTTCCTCAGAGCAGGGTCAACAACAAAAGGTTGCTCTGTGTCATGTCCATTTGAGTTTTGAAAATCTCCAGGGATGGAGACTCCACAACCTCTGCAGGCAAGCTGTTCCATACTCAGAGTAAAAAAAAAAGAAAAAAAGGGTTGTTGCTGTTTTTTGTTTTGGTGTGGTTTTGGTTTTTTTGTTTGGGTTTTTTGTTTGGGTTTTGTTTTGTTTTATTTTGTTTTGTTTTGCTTAAACAGAATTTCCTATGTTTCTGTTTGGGTCCATTGCCTCCTGTCTTTTCACTAGATACTACTGCGAATTGGGTCTGTCTGAGCTGGAGTCAGTATCCCCACAGCAGCCCTCACAGTGCTGAGTGTCACACTGGCAGCCAGCAGGGTGTTGGTAACACAGTTTGGGAGGGGGCAGAGCCGGGACAGCTGACCCGGATTGGCTGTTCCGTACCATGTGACCTCAGTTCAGCCATAAAAGCCACGGGAAGGGAGGAGTGGGGCATTGGTTACTATATTTGTTTCCAGGAGCAGCTGCTGCACAGACTGAAGCTCTGCTTTCCTGGGAAGTGGCCGGACATCACTTACCGAGGGGAAGTAGAGAATAACATAGAATCGTAGAATCATTAAGGTTGGAAAAGACCTCAAGGATCATCAAGTCCAACCCAACACCACCTAACTCACTAAACCATGTCCCTAAGC